ATTATTTTTAAAGCATGTAACTGCTTGATGTTTAAATCTAAAGAAAATATAACTAGAAAAATTTTTCTAGTTATATTTTCTTTAGATTTATACAAATAACATGTTATGCACAATAAGTACAACTGATTAATAATTAATATGAGTATAACAGCGAGGTCGAGCAAATTGGAAATGGGAGTATTGGAGTCTCTACATGATCAAGGCATGACCATGATGATGATGATCATGGCTACATGACAGCACGTAAACATGTCATGCCGAATTAACGTCTAGAGCAGGACTTCCCAGCTTTTTTTTATATACAAAAAATCCCCCCTGTTGCTTATTTTATATTTGCCTATTACGCATAAAGAAATTCGCGGTACCCCAAAATAAGTTCTACGGAACCCAGTTTTGGAACCACTGGTCTAGAGTCACCTTTGATGAAGAGTGACACATTGGGTGTATTCCGAAATATAAACCAGTACGCTGGTCAGCGGTAATGACGTCATGTTTTGGACGCCATATTGTTTAGTAGTTTTGTCAATATGGCGTCGAAATCATGACGTCATTACCTCTGGCCAGCGTACTGCTGTTTGATTCGGAATACACCCATTTTTAGGCCTGGGGTTCAATAACAATGATAAATCGTCACTTCTGTGAAAATCAAAAACTGTATCATTATAAATATACAAAGTTTAGATTACGAATGCTGCGAGAAATGTTTTCTTATATTTTAACTTATCTGTAACTAGCTGTGCTCGTGTTGATATTAAAATATATTTCATTATTTTTAGCCACTTTTAGATGAGGAATAAGCTTAGACTAGTTAAGCCGTGGAGTAACTAACCCAAGCTTAATCTTTGTTTATTAATAAGGTGGTTGGGTTACTACTTAAGATTACTTATTTTACATTACATTAGGAAGTTTTTTTCTATCGCAAACACCTTACCAAATGATGGAGCTTAATAATATTGATCATTTCATTGTTCTCTTTAAATTTCATTTATTGCATTCATTACAACTTACATGAATACAACCCTTATGTGACAACTCTCTGATTCATACAAAATTATGTTTATTTAAAACAGGTTTCATTTACTACTAATGAGGCAGAATAATAGTTTAAAAAGCTTATTTAAAATTACTTAATTTTACAGTGAGAGAGACACGATAGATACTATCATATTTTGAAGATAATTTCTGTCGTTTATTTAAAGAAAGTTTTTTCGTATTTCATATCTTTACATGTGTCGTAGGATAATTTGATAAAAAGATTTTTTGCGAAGATCCCAGGGATTTTGCGAAAACGCGGATAATTAGACAATGACGATAACATTTCACAATCTTATTGGAAAACATAGGATTTTTGCGCAAACGCGTTGAAAACCAGCGTCAGTGCAGTGTGCATTGGCGCTGGTTTTCAACTGGGTCCTTTATCTGACAAGTGGATGCCAAACACTAACGAATTTTATTATACATATATAATTCAAAAGAAAAATTAAATAAGATAAAGGCAAGGCTGTGTGAAACCGTTGCCTTTGCACTGAGACTAGAAAATAAATTAAATAAAAAAGCAGGTACATATATCGTTACATTAAAAGCACAGATTTTAGAGAATATCGTTACAAACGAACACAAGACAAAACATATTAAAAAAAAAGCAATAAAAAAGGATTATCCTGAATAGCAAATACCATTCAGATGATCTGGAACTAATCATACAACAGCCATAAGCAGAAGCAAGCGCCACCAGACAAAAGAAATTAGGTATTATTGAGGCCCATACAAGTCAGGCTCTATTAAAGTAAAACAATGGAATGCCAGAGAAAAAACAAAACAATAGGGTATTTGACAAGTTTTAGAAAACGATCTCACGTTCTTGACTAATTTTTATGGAGGCCGTAAAAAGGAGATATCCATCATTCTGTTGCGTATTTCAGTAAAAATAACCAAATCAACAACTCCATTTTCAAATTGCCGCGAAATCGTTTCTCTGGACAATATGGCGTCTTACTAGTGTGTGACGTCACACGACTGTTATTAAAACGTCAAACGATACAATGTAATGTCACATTAACCGGAAGTTTACTTGCGTGTGACGTCATTTTAGGCTCCGCCAATCCCAAGCGTTTTGGGTCACGTGACAATAGACAAGAAAACTATTATCTTTTTCGTGGGATTTTATAGTAAAATTATGATATTTTTTTTGTAAAAAAAATGTAAAAACAGCTGCCAATATTGATTCTTAACACAGCTGCTAACAATTGGCACTTTATTTTTGATACTGTCAAATACCCTATTACATGTAAGTAACTTAATTAGAACATGTACAAGTTAAACAGAAACAAATCATAAGAACCCGACATCTTAACTCTTGTCAAATTGCTTGCAGACTGTTTATAGCTGAGAGGTAAATTTTTACAAAACGCTACTCTTGAAAACACTGGCAGCTTATAGATAATACAAAGGTAAGACAAATTTATATTATCAAATAACCTCACGGCATATGTAATGGTTAAAGAATCATAGGTGCATAATAACTATAATCTGTCCATTCTATTATTATCTTTTTGACAGATCGATCGAAGTAAAAATAGTGACACCCTATCACGTAACTCGTTCGATTTAAAGCTATAATCGATTTTATGCTAGAACAATGTTTAATCGATTATAAGTATCGAAATTATTTTAGTTATCAAAAATACTGGTGTTTAATAAATTATTACAAAATCTCATTAGATTTATTATTTTAACTAGTACAAATATTTCTGTGGTGAGCACGAGTATTTATTCTGTGTCTGGGTGTGATTTATCTATAATATGTATATATATACAACTAAAAAGCAGTATACTTTTTATATGTTTGTTTATCCTAATACTAACACTCTGTACAATTAGATTTATTGATTATAATTAATAATTTCATTTAAAAAAAGGTTAATAAAAAACTATATCTTTCGACTTTTTATGTTAAAATATTTTTGAGTGTTGGCAACACCATGTTGTGGTGGTGTATGGCGCCATTTTTAAGTCACTTGTTCACTGATGTGTCGTTGAACAAATAAAGAAAATAATAATGTCTGACTGGGATCGAGATATTGCCTTTGACAATATACAACAGAATGAATTCATCATTAATACCGAGTACACATCTGACAATGAGTCCAGTTTGTATGGAAAATCTGATACGTCTGAATAAATTAAAAATAAAATAAGAAGACATTTATATAAGGAACTTTATATAATGGTAATATTTTAACTACTTACTTTCTACCTTACAATTTGGTTGTACTCATTTATTTCTACCGATTATTTGTAATCTGTGGCGCAATCTTAGTAATCAATATGTGTGGCACATCACTAAGTGGGCGGTACCCGTCCATGAAGTACAATATTATTTGTATGACATTTCAACGTAAACAATACAAAATTTCATGGGCGTCGATCTGTCAAAAAGATAAGAATATAATGGACAGACTATAGCCAGTTTATTTCAGAATACGCCCTGCCCGTTGATTTGTTCTATTAAGCTGGCAGCGGCTGATGCATGCTCCGGTGTCTTTCGCTCCCTGTCACTAATGGGACTTTCGAAATCTTTATACTTATTAAATAATTTCCAAAATATCAAACCGATTTGGCCCAAATTAAATTGCATATGAAAGGCAATAATACGTAGACGGTTTCGAACCACTAAAACAACGCTTTAGGCATAGGCATAAAGTCGATTTTGGACTTTTTCTATACAAACGTTTCCAAGCTCATCAAAAGGTGGCGCTTTAAATAGAATAAATGGAAAAACTTTCCGTATAAGTATTCTTTTTTTTTCAAACAGGTATCCGCTATTTACTAATAATATAATATGAATTATTATAAATGACATACTATCTCTTAAGCGGTTCCAATCAATCACAACACTTGATTTCATAAATATAAATATCGTACGCACGGCACATCTTTACAGTATTACCTACATCAATGTCTGAATAAGGATGATGACTAATTTTTTTTCTTCATTTATCAGTTAGATTATTAAAAAGTATTAGACATGTATTTTTTCTTTATTCACATAATATAAACATTGCAGATATATTGATTTGAAAAGTCGCATGACGTCACGTTTTGGTACAATTTTCACTTAAGAGTGACGTCACGAGCCCCTACTCCCAAACTTTGACGCGCTATATCTTTGTCATTTTTTGGTTGACTGCCCAAAGAAAAAATACGTGTCCATTATTTTTTGATCATCTAACTGACGGACTAAATAGAATTCCGTTTACTGTACCCCGTCATCACCCCTATTCTCCACAAAGTTTTAGAACTTGGTGAAAGGACTTCACCTTCAGAATAGATTGCAGAATATCGACAATTTGTGGTAGCCTTATGTGATTTCTTACCTTGTCTTAAACCGGCACAGGAACTACGATCAATATTTTTGCATCTCTTATCTAGTGGAGCCTCAGATATTAGGCACTAAGACCAATATATTTGTATTTCTTATCAATTGAAGTCTCAAATATAATAGCATTTTTTAATTACAAACTAACAAAAAAATATTCTATACCATAAAACAGTTATTTTCGTCTTTTAATTCCTCGCATGTCTTAAAGGTCACTTAAATTTTAGTTACATTTAAAAATCTAAAAATATATCTTTACTAGGTGAATTACTCGTTAATCTATATAGAATAAAAAGATGTTTCTAATAAAATATTAAGTACCAGCAACAATTTTAGAGTCAAATAAAACTAGTTTTAGCGGGTTCTGGTCTGACGGGTCTGACGAAGCAGAACTGAAAAGGCTGCGAAACGTCAATAAATGAATAAAGTTTCGTGCATTAACCCGTTAAAACCAGTTTTATTTAATGAGTGATGTGCGTGAAAACCTAAGAAAAAATTTTAGAGTCAATAAAAAATATGTTTACGCAGTCAATCACAAGATTCGACCTTAACAGCTATGAAATAAAGTATGATTTCCTGCTTACGGCACGTTCGGAGACGTCGGCACGTCGCGAGGGCTTCGTCACAGATCTACGTTATTCAAATTGGAGCCCGAATGGGTGGGCAGATCTTCCTCCAGAAGTAAAGTGCCTGGTAGTAATAAAAACAGACGTGTTACAACAGAATGTATTATAATTGACGACCTCTCACCTATAGGCGCGCAGGCGGCGTCTCTGTCCCGCAGCCCTACCTCACAGTGTTCAGTAATGTATAGTGTTGTCTCCCTCTCACCTATAGGCGCGCAGGCGGCGTCTCTGTCCCGCAGCCCTACCTCATAGTGTTCAGTAATGTATAGTGTTGTCTCCCTCTCACCTATAGGCGCGCAGGCGGCGTCTCTGTCCCGCAGCCCTACCTCACAGTGTTCAGTAATGTATAGTGTTGTCTCCCTCTCACCTATAGGCGCGCAGGCGGCGTCTCTGTCCCGCAGCCCTACCTCATAGTGTTCAGTAATGTATAGTGTTGTCTCCCTCTCACCTATAGGCGCGCAGGCGGCGTCTCTGTCCCGCAGCCCTACCTCATAGTGTTCAGTAATGTATAGTGTTGTCTCCCTCTCACCTATAGGCGCGCACGCAGCGTCTCTGTCCCGCAGCCCTACCTCATAGTGTTCAGTAATGTATAGTGTTGTCTCCCTCTCACCTATAGGCGCGCAGGCGGCGTCTCTGTCCCGCAGCCCTACCTCATAGTGTTCAGTAATGTATAGTGTTGTCTCCCTCTCACCTATAGGCGCGCAGGCAGCGTCTCTGTCCCGCAGCCCTACCTCATAGTGTTCAGTAATGTATAGTGTTGTCTCCCTCTCACCTATAGGCGCGCACGCAGCGTCTCTGTCCCGCAGCCCTACCTCATAGTGTTCAGTAATGTATAGTGTTGTCTCCCTCTCACCTATAGGCGCGCAGGCAGCGTCTCTGTCCCGCAGCCCTACCTCATAGTGTTCAGTAATGTATAGTGTTGTCTCCCTCTCACCTATAGGCGCGCAGGCAGCGTCTCTGTCCCGCAGCCCTACCTCATAGTGTTCAGTAATGTATAGTGTTGTCTCCCTCTCACCTATAGGCGCGCAGGCGGCGTCTCTGTCCCGCAGCCCTACCTCATAGTGTTCAGTAATGTATAGTGTTGTCTCCCTCTCACCTATAGGCGCGCACGCAGCGTCTCTGTCCCGCAGCCCTACCTCATAGTGTTCAGTAATGTATAGTGTTGTCTCCCTCTCACCTATAGGCGCGCACGCAGCGTCTCTGTCCCGCAGCCCTACCTCATAGTGTTCAGTAATGTATAGTGTTGTCTCCCTCTCACCTATAGGCGCGCAGGCAGCGTCTCTGTCCCGCAGCCCTACCTCATAGTGTTCAGTAATGTATAGTGTTGTCTCCCTCTCACCTATAGGCGCGCAGGCAGCGTCTCTGTCCCGCAGCCCTACCTCATAGTGTTCAGTAATGTATAGTGTTGTCTCCCTCTCACCTATAGGCGCGCACGCAGCGTCTCTGTCCCGCAGCCCTACCTCATAGTGTTCAGTAATGTATAGTGTTGTCTCCCTCTCACCTATAGGCGCGCAGGCGGCGTCTCTGTCCCGCAGCCCTACCTCATAGTGTTCAGTAATGTATAGTGTTGTCTCCCTCTCACCTATAGGCGCGCAGGCGGCGTCTCTGTCCCGCAGCCCTACCTCATAGTGTTCAGTAATGTATAGTGTTGTCTCCCTCTCACCTATAGGCGCGCAGGCGGCGTCTCTGTCCCGCAGCCCTACCTCATAGTGTTCAGTAATGTATAGTGTTGTCTCCCTCTCACCTATAGGCGCGCAGGCGGCGTCTCTGTCCCGCAGCCCTACCTCACAGTGTTCAGTAATGTATAGTGTTGTCTCCCTCTCACCTATAGGCGCGCAGGCGGCGTCTCTGTCCCGCAGCCCTACCTCACAGTGTTCAGTAATGTATAGTGTTGTCTCCCTCTCACCTATAGGCGCGCAGGCGGCGTCTCTGTCCCGCAGCCCTACCTCACAGTGTTCAGTAATGTATAGTGTTGTCTCCCTCTCACCTATAGGCGCGCAGGCGGCGTCTCTGTCCCGCAGCCCTACCTCACAGTGTTCAGTAATGAATAGTGTTGTCTCCCTCTCACCTATAGGCGCGCAGGCGGCGTCTCTGTCCCGCAGCCCTACCTCACAGTGTTCAGTAATGTATAGTGTTGTCTCCCTCTCACCTATAGGCGCGCAGGCGGCGTCTCTGTCCCGCAGCCCTACCTCACAGTGTTCAGTAATGTATAGTGTTGTCTCCCTCTCACCTATAGGCGCGCAGGCGGCGTCTCTGTCCCGCAGCCCTACCTCATAGTGTTCAGTAATGTATAGTGTTGTCTCCCTCTCACCTATAGGCGCGCAGGCGGCGTCTCTGTCCCGCAGCCCTACCTCATAGTGTTCAGTAATGTATAGTGTTGTCTCCCTCTCACCTATAGGCGCGCAGGCGGCGTCTCTGTCCCGCAGCCCTACCTCACAGTGTTCAGTAATGTATAGTGTTGTCTCCCTCTCACCTATAGGCGCGCAGGCGGCGTCTCTGTCCCGCAGCCCTACCTCATAGTGTTCAGTAATGTATAGTGTTGTCTCCCTCTCACCTATAGGCGCGCAGGCGGCGTCTCTGTCCCGCAGCCCTACCTCATAGTGTTCAGTAATGTATAGTGTTGTCTCCCTCTCACCTATAGGCGCGCAGGCGGCGTCTCTGTCCCGCAGCCCTACCTCACAGTGTTCAGTAATGTATAGTGTTGTCTCCCTCTCACCTATAGGCGCGCAGGCGGCGTCTCTGTCCCGCAGCCCTACCTCATAGTGTTCAGTAATGTATAGTGTTGTCTCCCTCTCACCTATAGGCGCGCAGGCGGCGTCTCTGTCCCGCAGCCGCACCATATCCGCCCGCAGTTTATCAAGCACGGCCTTATTGGGTTGGTTATGGCGGGCTCTGTCTTGAAGGAGAGTAATCTGTTGTTCTTCCAACTTCTTCTCTTTGGAACTCTTGACGGATCGCGACCCGTACAGGCGGAGAAGGGAGCCCCATGACCGCACGTGGGGATGGAGCGCCTGTAGTCATGGGGTATAATATAACTACCATCTTTACGAAATTCCATTGGCACGATGAAATGAAAATATACTTTATCTACCAGCATACTTTAAAATCTATATAAAAGACTCTGAAACAGCTTATTGCCAACATGAAAAGATCCAATTTCATGTTTTAAAAACAACATTATAACACCCATTTGGGATTTTTTAAATCTCTTCCACGCCAAGGGGCTTATTCATCAGACAGCCACAATTTTCACTGCTCGATGCGTGGTATTATGAATTTCATAGAGCCGAATTTACTGATAAATTTTAAGTTCTTAGAACGTCTCGTGGTTTCGGAATCTTTTATAGAAGATTCATATCATAGGTGTAGATAATGCCTGGTAAGTTGTATGCAACTGTTCATAATTGGGTATTAGAACACACGTGTGATACTATTATCACCATATTCCAATCCCAAACCTACATTCGTGTTTTAATACCCCTCATTATACAACAGTTGTATAAATAAATAATTACCCACAGTCGTGTCGCAATATTCGAATAACGAAATTAAAGAAAAAATACTTATAGTACGTAGTAATATTATTTCCAGAGGTATCTAATCAATGTTTGTTAATCTAACGCGTTCAAAGCAAATTTTGTTCTTGTACTTACTAAAAACTGATTTAATGAAAATATTTGTGATACACAAATGCATGGTCGATTATACAGCCGTCTCTTTTCCTCGCGGTCCGAACTGCTATATTTCTAACAGCGCATTCAGCATTACGATATAGAGTCATAGAAATAAAGTCGTAATTCTTCCGAATATAGCAACAAATCGTAGAATTGTAAGAGCTTGCATTTCAAACGGTCAAAACTCTTTGATGCATGGTTTAAATTAAGTCCTTAAATATTATGCATTAAAGATGACTTTAATGTTTAAATAATGCCCTATATTGTTTTTGACTACGCGATCATCTTACGGAGGTCCGTGGACAGTTTTCAGCAACGATTTTGTTCGATTTAGTGTATCTAGGGTGTGTGTGTGTGTAGGGTGTTGTGGTGGCGACATCTATGACACATATAACCAACGGATGGAGGAAAAATCATTCGCCTCTTCAACAGATGGCGCTACAGGCGCTGCGCTCAATAAGTATGGAAGCCTACATCGCGCAAATGAAATTCGGCGCCCAACACTTCATATATATTATGCCCGACCAACATCAGTCGTGCCCACACGACACGCTATACCAGGTACAGGTACGTACCTGGACGTTTTTCCCCGTCCCCCCATGACAACGGCTAACTAGAGCCCGAGGTCTCAAAGTCTCAGAGGCCTTATCCCCCCTCTAGTTGAGCCGACCCCCTCAGATTCGAGTGGTCTACAGGCTCCAAACGGAGAGGAGCCTCCCCCCGTGGAGATGCCATCCGCCTGGAATACCTCTAGAGGCACTCGCCAATTCGGCTTAAGGTCCCCTTAGGATCTCGCCGTCACCAAACCCGGTGACGCAGTAAAGGTCATCTCGAGCCGTTACCGCCAAATTATCGTAAGCGACACTTTTGTCGAAATGCGTTTTTTGTGGAAACTAATATTTTAAACCGTAACGGACCCATCTCTGTTGATATTTCCCTCCAACCTTCCTTCCGTTATATTATAACGGTGTTCTTTTGGAGGGAAATATCAACAGAGATGGGTCCGTTACGGTTTAAAATATTAGTTTCCACAAAAAACGCATTTCAACAAAAGTGTCGCTTACGATAATTTGGCGGTAATGGCTCGATCTGTGACCAACAGTATACACACTCAAAAAAAAAACAGTCGTGCCGCTACCCCCGAGCTAACATCGCCCAGCTCGAAGGAAGATCTTTGGCTTCCAACAGTATAAAATATCGTTGTCATAAGCAGACATATTCCCAAGGTCCAACTAGTTCTATTAACTTTACCTGTAATATTGCCTGCGAGGCGCGCTGCTTGGCTGTCTTCTTGTTCTTGCAGACGACGGTGGCGGAGTGCTTGCCCACCTTCATGGTCAACTCAATCTTCTGGAACTCCAGCTTCTTCATCTGTATACACAACGTGCTTCTTTATTATAAAGAAGTTGACTTTTAATTGATCGAGTAGGTAATCAACTTTGGTGTGGGATTTAGTGATAACTTGACTTGAAGTACAGATTTTTTTTCTTTATTTATCAATTTGTTTACATTTAACAATATCATTACGATTACAGCACAAAAACCTTAAAGATTTGTCTATGCTGCAGAATTGCCGCACAGCCAGTCACGCCAAACAGCCTGCCTGGTTTTCTAAATATGTAATACATTTTTAACATTTTAACAAAGGGTCTAGAAGATTTTATTTTATTTCGAATAGCCTCTGGTAGTTCTTTGGTGAATAAGGGTAATAAATACTTAGAAGTTCTGGTACCATAAATATTATTGTACTTTGTAGTAATAAATACATCTTTATTTTTTAAGTTCCTAAGATTTTATTAAATAATAAGAAGAAGCACAAGTATTATTTTCAGGGTCAACAATTCTCATCACCAGAGGACCTGTTTAGTCCAGTCAACAAGTTCAAAAACGTGAAAAATAGAGATAAAGCTCCTAAAAATATGAGCAATAGCTCATTGGATTCGGAACGACCTCTAGAAAAATGAGTTTTGAGGATTTTACTGCACGTAAAAAATTGCAATTGTTATTAACAAAATAAGATGAAAAAAAAGAGGTGTTTACGTTTTTGTTAATAACTCATAAACTATTAATATTTACGATATTTGGAAAAAAGGTCCTTAAAGAGGAGGAAATTTCCGAAAAAAAAGTCCCAGCTCCCGGAACTCTACCTCTATTATTTATAATTTTAATTTAACGCTGAAAATAGGGCTCCGCGCAGTCATTACGGTATGGGCGCACTGCCGTTAAAGACAGTTTCTTACATAAAATTATTTTTTTATAGTAAAAAATATGAATTTAAAAATTTAAATAAATTATGGTGTCATCCAGATACTTGAAAGAATATATTCCCGTTGGAAAAAAAAAATTAAATTAATTTTTCAAAAAGTTATGCAATTGTTAATTAACGAATTTTTTTCCTATCTCCGTTTTCATAAATGACGACATAAAAATTTAAATAATAAACCTATAAATTTTTGGCTCTGTGGAGCTCTTCTTATATATATACTTAACAAGATCCCGCGATAAAAGTTTATTAAAGTTAATTATTTTGTTTATAACAATTTTTTAAAGTTAACAAAAAAGGAAAAGTCTAAGAAATGTTATTAAATTTTTTTTTTAAACAAATGTTATATTATTGCTGCTTTCTTATCCAACAATGGCATTAAGTAACATCAGAAAAATTTTTTTTACATCATTTGTTAAGAAATTGTTTATAAACAAATAGACAAGTTTAATATTTAAAGAAATTTTTTTTTACCATTATGTTGTCTTGGCAAAATAATGATTTTTGAAAAAAAAAATTCTTAAATAATTTTTTTTATTGTTTATAATCGTTTTTTTATATTTCGATTGTTTAAATAATTAGTTAAGGAATGATTTTCTCTTTAAAAATCATAATTGGCATTTCTTCATAGGTAAATAGATTTTTTTTTTATCAATAATTTCATTGTTTGTTTACTTAACAATTTGTTATAAACAAATTCTAACTACCGTTATATTTTTTTTCTAGAGCTAAAAAAAAATAACAAAATCAGCCATATATATCAAAATACTAAAAAAAAAAAAATCTATTTTTTATAACGCTTTTAAATATTACACGATACCAAAGTTACACCGGACACTTGATTTGTCAAGTTAAAAAATTAATATAACTTATAAACTATTCGAGATACGATAATGGACATTCAGGTCGTTTTTATAAAGCATTAATTAATCTTCAAAATAAGCTAAAAACCAAGTTTGTAACTATTGTTTATCAGCTAATACATGCATTTGTTTATAAAATTTTGAGATTTCTTTAACTTTTTCGTATCTCTTATGACTTACAACTTAATAAATAATTAAAATACAGCTATAAACCTTAAAACAATTTTGTTTAGCGATACATTATCTCCCAAATTATCAATTAATCGTACCTCCATCTCTAATTGTTTAAACAATATACGTGATTTAATTAATATTTATTTAACTCGTGTTCAATCACGTATATTGTTTAAACAATTAGAGATGGAGGTACGATTAATTGATAATTTGGGAGACGATAGCTGACGACCTCCGTGGCCGAGTGGTTTGTACGCCGGGTTTCATGGTGTCACCGACTCGAGAGGTCCCGGGTTCGAATCCCGGTGGGGGCAGATGTTTGTGTGATGAATACGAGCATTTGTACTCTAGTCATGGATGTTTAATATGTATTTCTATATAAATATACTTATATATGTACTGTATATGTATTCTATCCGTTACCCTAGCATCCCATAACACAAGCCTTACAGTGCTTACTTTGGGGCTAGGCTAATTGGTGTGAGTGTTGGAAATATTTATTTATTATTTATTTAAAACAATAGTTACAAACTTGGTTTTTAGCTTATTTTGAAGATTAATTAATGCTTTATAAAAACGACCTGAATGTCCATTATCGTATCTCGAATAGTTTATAAGTTATATTAATTTTTTACTTGACAAATCAAGTGTCCGGTGCAACTTTGGTATCGTGTAATATTTAAAAGCGTTATAAAAAATAGAAAAAATTTTTTTTTTAGTATTTTGATATATATGGCTGTTTTTGTTATTTTTTTTAGCTCTAGAAAAAAAATATAACGGTAGTTAGAATTTGTTTATAACAAATTGTTAAGTAAACAAACAATGAAATTATTGATAAAAAAAAATCTATTTACCTATGAAGAAATGCCAATTATGATTTTTAAAGAGAAAATCATTCCTTAACTTTAACTATCCTTATTAAAACAATCGAAATATAAAAAAACGATTATAAACAATAAAAAAAATTATTTAAGAATTTTTTTTTTCAAAAATCATTATTTTGCCAAGACAACATAATGGTAAAAAAAAATTTCTTTAAATATTAAACTTGTCTATTTGTTTATAAACAATTTCTTAACAAATGATGTAAAAATTTTTTTTCCGATGTTACTTAATGCCATTGTTGGATAAGAAAGCAGCAATAATATAACATTTGTTTAAAAAAAAATTTTAATAACATTTCTTAGACTTTTCATTTTTTGTTAACTTTAAAAAATTGTTATAAACAAAATAATTAACTTTAATAAACTTTTATCGCGGGATCTTGTTAAGTATATATATAAGAGCTCCACAGAGCCAAATATTTATAGGTTTATTATTTAAATTTTTATGTCGTCATTTATGAAAACGGAGATAGGAAAAAAATTCGTTAATTAACAATTGCATAACTTTTTGAAAAATTAATTTATTTTTTTTTTTCCAACGGGAATATATTCTTTCAAGTATCTGGATGACACCATAATTTATTTAAATTTTTAAATTCATATTTGTTACTATAAAAAAATAATTTTATGTAAGAAACTGTCTTTAACGGCAGTGCGCCCATGCCGTAATGGCTGCGCGGAGCTCTATTTTCAGCGTTAAATTAAAATTATAAATAATAGAGGTAGAGTTCCGGGAGCTGGGACTTTTTTTTCGGAAATTTCCTCCTCTTTAAGGACCTTTTTTCCAAATATCATAAATATTAATAGTTTATGAGTTATTAACAAAAACGTAAATACCTCTTTTTTTTCATCTTATTTTGTTAATAACAATTGCAATTTTTTACGTGCAGTAAAATCCTCAAAACTCATTTTTCTAGAGGTCGTTCCGAATCCAATGAGCTATTGCTCATATTTTTAGGAGCTTTATCTCTATTTTTCACGTTTTTAAACTTGTTGACTGGACTAGTTGTAGAGTAAAACACGCATGCATTCCGTCTCTGGGATCAAGATGAAACTAGTACTACTGGGTTTTCATATTTTATGACAAAGCGAAGAGTTAATTCAATTAGAACATTTGTGTTAATTTATAATTTAAAGTAAAAATAGAAATAAAACCTACTACAAAAGGAATAAGCCATTTGAACATTACGTCCTAAAATCAAATCAAATAGCGCGCGCTTCCCAAACTTCCTGTTACACACTTCCGTCCCACATCACGTAATCACAAAGATGTTACACATCAAAATAAAAATGATAAAGGTAGTGTATTACATATTTTAGGGTGATATGATACCTTCGCGGTAGAATCCCAAACGGGGACCCCGCGGCTTCGCATGAAGCAGTGTAGAAGGTATTCGGAGGACTTTTTTAGCGGATATTATGCCGTAAAGCGCCCGTAAGAGTTGCGGGGTCCCAGGTGGGCAGCCACTGGGGGGTCCGTAAGACTTGCGGGCGCCAGGTGTGGTTAGCGCATTCGGCTGCAATCGTTGAAGTTAAGCAACTTTCGCAGTGGTCGGTCATTGGATGGGTGACCAAAAAATTACTGCCGGTCCCGGCTGCATCTGCAGTCGTTAGCACCCGCCAATCCGCACTGGGCCCGCGTGGTGGGTCATGGCCCAATCTCCCGATTTCATCCATAGGGAAGGCCTGTGCCCCAGCAGTCGGGACATTAATAGCCTGTACCCTTAGTACGACTTTGAGCTCACGAAAACTAACATAGTTTTCGTAATTGTAAATTATGTTTCTATGTCCATTTTGGTTTAAAGTAACCAAATATAGTTAAAGTTTATGAAGACGCAAATGATTTTATGATAGAATTTAAACACTGTTTATTTGATTGAAACGAAAACAATAAAATCAGTACCCTTAGTACGAGTACGAGCTCACGAAAAGTATCATAGTTTTCGTAATTGTAAAACTTGTACTAAGGGTACTGATGATGATGATGATGATAAAAAAAAATGGTGATATGATACCTCAGTATGTATGTGTCGGTCGCTGGCACCGAAGTTCCTCAGCAGGCAGGTGCGCAGGATTGCATGAGGCGAGGGCTCGCAGGTGGCCGCGCAGAACTCGGAGATGCGGGGGTCCTCGATGCCCACGTAGTCGAAGAACTGTTTTATATGACCAAAGTGGAATTTTATTTATTGAAGTGAAACTTGTTTCAAGACAAAAATGGAAAAATCCTATGGAAATGATGAAAGGGGAATGCGTCACGAGCGTCACACGACTATATGAATGAAATATATAAAATATGATGCTGTTTAATCAGTAACGACAAAGATGAGAAAACTTTTATGAATTAATGTCATAACATAATATATCATTAAACTAAGAACCTTCAAAAATATAACGTAATAACTAAAACTAAAAAAAAACTGCTGTTTAATTGTTGTAGTAATTAAAACTAAATTATTGTCTCGACTTGCTGATATTGTCCTTATTAATGTGTTTTTTAGAAAATAATAATTGTGAGGTGGTGGCAGAATACCAGCGACAAGTCAAAACTTGACTGTCACATGCTGAGCCACATACCTTTTTGTTTCAATTTTTTACTGTCATTCTATTTGTGTATTGTACCAATTCTATGTTGAAACAAATAAATAATTTATTATTATTATTATTATTATTATTATAATATATACGACAACTGCTAACTAGAGCCGAGGTCCGAATCTCAGAGACGCCCTCTAGTTGAGCCGACCCCCTCAGGTTCGAGTGGTCTGGAGGCTCCAAACGGAGAGGAGACTCCCCCCGTGGGGAAACGCCATCCGCCTGGAATACATCTAGAGGCACTCGCCAATTCTCGGCTTGAGGTCCCCTTAGGATCTCGCCATCCCCAAACCCGGTGACGCTGTAAAGGTCATCTGCGACCAACAGCATACACACTCAAAAAAAAAAAACAGCCCAAACCACTGGACGTATCGGGCTGAAATTTGGCATGCAGGAAGATGTTATGACGGAGGCATCCGCTAAGAAAGGATTTTGATCAATTCTACCCCCAAGGGGATAAAATAGGGAATGAAAGTTTGTATGAAACTTTTGTCAATTTTAAACCGATCGGGCCGAGACTTTGCATGCAGGTATAAGAAGAATCATAGATGAATTTCATTGTGTATAATACAAACCTGAGAACAAAAACTGTGGTCTACACTTCAGCTCTACACCGAAGCGAAGCGAGGGCGGGCCGCTAGTTTATACATATATTTGAGTGACGCCTTATGCACCGCCTAATGTTAGGTTATTTAAGAAAAGAAGTTTCACTTCAGATGTGTGGCCCGTGCACACTATTTTTCTTATTTTGGGAATAGGGATGGTGACCGGGGAAATTGAACGAAATACTATTCAGTCCCTCAGTTAGATTGTCTTATAATAATGGAGACTTATTTTTTCTTGTAGCAATCATCCAAAATATAACAAAGATAAACCTATGTATACGACTGAGGACCTGTATCCATGGTCATGAATAAATTATTAATAAAAAATGACAAAGATAAAACGCGTCAAAGTTCGGTAGTGGGGGTCGTGCTGCAACTTCAAAGTAAAAATCGTACCAAGACGTGACGTCATGAGAAATATTTCTCATGACGTTACGTCATATATCTTTAATTAGTTATATACCTTTGGCTGGGATGTTTTGATTATGTAATAAGGGAACAAATAGGTGTCCAATACTTTTTGATAATCTGCCTGACAGACGGAGCAAAAATAGGTAGTCATCATCCCTATTAATAAGGGTAGTTAAAATACACACGTACTCAGACATATTAACTAACTTTTAAGTTTGATCTAATATATTTCTGTCACTTTTTTACGCTGGCAATGCAAAAAAAACAACAGACAATAAAAGTTTAATAAAAGTACGCTCAATAGAATCGCCATCAATTAAGGAATTTCGTTTATTAAATGATGTAAAATGGAGGCAAATTAGTCGTATAGACAAAACTACAAAATAATATTAGGGCATACATAATAGAAAAGGACCGAAAATCGTGTGAAATGAATAAATACGATTTAAATCGTACGTCTGGCAACGGTGGCTCAATCACTTCAAATGATTAAATAAATGCGAGTGCTTCAGTGAGCAAATATTAAGTAAAATGTAATCGCGCCTCACTGTCGACGAAAATAAGGTGGTAAAAAGTTGAAATATGAGTACTTTTTTATTCTGTCGCGACGAGGAACTCCAACTAGGCGTCTCACGAGTGAGAACTATCCTATAAGAGCACTGACCGACAAGTCCGGCTCGTCAGAAGAAGAAGGAATGTCAGAAGGCGCGCGCGCTGCGACTTAGCCTGCCGCTTGGAGGAGCCGAAAATGAGATGAGGTGGTTCAAAGTTGAAATACGAGTACTTCTTCATTCTGTCGCAACAAGGAACTCGCACTAGGCGTTGCACGAGGGTTGCCATCCATTTCATGGAGGAAGCCTGTCTAGGATGCACAAAGCGCTTGATTTTTCAGAAAAATGTGTGTCTATAGTAACGACAATTTTAAGCGAACTAAAGAATTTAAAATCCTATGCTCCAATTTGTTCGTTCAACGTAAACAAAGCGTCCGCGAATTCGTGCTACCTCGTGATTCCCTTAATGCATTGCGTGGCCTACGCTCACATAAATGCGCGCCAAATTAAAAAAATCTGTCTTAGCGCCGGCTGCTCGCCTATCTTAACCGTAAAATGCCTGTCAAATGAGGCGATCGCCTGTCAGATGTTAGCCTCACTCACTACGCTACAAGAGAAGTCTGGCTCGTCGCTCTGCTTGGGGCGGTCGTCCTTCATCTCGGGTATGAGGATGTGTATGGAGGCACACAGACAGACGGACAGACAGACACACACTGACCGAGAAGTCTGGCTCGTCGCTCTGCTTGGGGCGGTCGTCCTTCATCTCGGGTATGAGGATGTGTATGGAGGCACACAGACAGACGGACAGACAGACACACACTGACCGAGAAGTCTGGCTCGTCGCTCTGCTTGGGGCGGTCGTCCTTCATCTCGGGTATGAGGATGTGTATGGAGGCACACAGACAGACGGACAGACAGACACACACTGACCGAGAAGTCTGGCTCGTCGCTCTGCTTGGGGCGGTCGTCCTTCATCTCGGGTATGAGGATGTGTATGGAGGCACACAGACAGACGGACAGACAGACACACACTGACCGAGAAGTCTGGCTCGTCGCTCTGCTTGGGGCGGTCGTCCTTCATCTCGGGTATGAGGATGTGTATGGAGGCACACAGACAGACGGACAGACAGACACACACTGACCGAGAAGTCTGGCTCGTCGCTCTGCTTGGGGCGGTCGTCCTTCATCTCGGGTATGAGGATGTGTATGGAGGCACACAGACAGACGGACAGACAGACACACACTGACCGAGAAGTCTGGCTCGTCGCTCTGCTTGGGGCGGTCGTCCTTCATCTCGGGTATGAGGATGTGTATGGAGGCACACAGACAGGCGGACAGACAGACACACACTGACCGAGAAGTCCGGCTCGTCGCTCTGCTTGGGGCGGTCGTCCTTCATCTCGGGTATGAGGATGTGTATGGAGGCACACAGACAGGCGGACAGACAGACACACACTGACCGAGAAGTCCGGCTCGTCGCTCTGCTTGGGGCGGTCGTCCTTCATCTCGGGTATGAGGATGTGTATGGAGCTCCTGGCGGCCGCAGACTTGGCCTGCCGCTTGGAGGAGCCGCGCCCCACGCCGTACTGCATGCCGCCGATGTATACCGTCGCCTGATACGGGGTCGCGGCGTTCTCTATACACGCGGACAAAATTATATACGTAAACACACAAACGTTTGCAAAACGGAGCATTAACGGAGGTTGTATACATTTATGGAAAGTTGAAAATTACGGATCTTACAACGGAGCGTGCGGTAAACCGATTACCGTACAAAAACAAACTAATTAAAGATAAATAATGTAGTAGAAGTGTAGTGTATTGTCTCAGTATAGAGTGAAGTGTAGTGTGTTCCTTCAGTGTAGAGTATAGTGTGTCGTCACCAAGCTGCACGAACTCGTAGATGGCTGTTTCTGCAACGCGCGACTATAAAATGTAGTGTAGTGTGTTCTTTTAGTGCAGTGTAGTGTAGTGTGCTCTCTCAGTACAAAGTGTAGTATAGAGTGTCCACTCAGTGAAGAGTGTAGTGTAGTGTGTATAGTGAGGATTATCAATCACCAAAAACTCTTAGACGAGCTATTTCTGCAGCGCGTGGCTATAGTGTAGTGTGATCCTTCAGTATAGAGTGTGGTGTAGTGTGTCCCCTCAGTATAGAGTGTAGTGTGTTCCCTCAGTATATCATGTAGTATATGGCTCACCGAGCTGCACAAACTCGTAGACGGGCTGTTTCTGCAGCGCTCGACGCACGTACTCGTGGAACACAGACAGGTAGCTGCGTCCGTCCATATTCATCACCCAGTCGCGTTTCATTGGCTTTCCGCCAGTTGCTGCAAAGGACGTAGTAATGACGATGCATTCTACTCTTATACTACAGAGATTCAAAGAAATTATAACATTCGTAATTAAACTGATGAAGTAATACGAAAATTTATGTTTTTTTAAAATTTTTTTTTTTTTTAATTATTAACGAGTTCTCACGTAGAAGTCAATTTGTTTTGTTGATCATTGTAATAATTATACTTATTATAACTCTTACTCTGAGTTTTTCATGCTATTGAGAAACAAGTTACAAATTAAAAAAATATAATAATTCTTCAAAGTGTTCTTTATAATTATCATTTCAAACCTTCTTTCCCAATCCTAATAGAAAACAGAATGACAGCTAGATTAAACTACCAGATCTTACGAAACTACGACGTCATACAACTCACCACTACCAACAACTTTACCTTAAAGCTTTTTTTATTGAAGACATGTAATAAAAAATGTTTAGTTCAACTTTAGTGTCGGAATGAGTACGTAATCCATACCATTACCGTTATCCTGAGCGCTCTGCCTGGCGGGTATGGTGATGAGCTTGGTGCCGTCGGGCAGCGTGGGGTACTGCAGCGTCTTGCGGGCTTTGTTGTACTTGCGTCTGTCCGCCCATCGGCTATAAAACATCGCATAAGTTGCAAGATCTTCTTATACACAGCTAGCATACTTGCACTCTAGTTTAACATTAGGCAGACACCGCACCCGCAGGATAAGAGTGTGAAGACCCGGTCTACATACGACACGCCATACCAGGTACAGGTACGTACCTCTTGATTATTTTCTATCTGTTTTTTAATTTCAGATATTTTTCTTATAAATAGAAGCATTTATAATACCGACGACTAATACGACGACGTTTGTACGCGGGGTTTCAAGGTGTCTCCTTCTCGAGAGGTCCCGGATTCGAATCCCGGTGGGGGCTGATGTTTGTGTGATGAATACGAGCATTTGTACTCCAGTCATGGATGTTTAATATGTATTACTATAAAAAATATAGTTATATAAGTATAGTATATGTATTCTATCCGTTACCCTTGCATTCCATAACACAAGCCTTACAGTGCTTACTTTAGGGCTAGGCTAATTGGTGTGAGTGTTGGAAATATTAATTATTTATTTATAAACGAACAGAATAATAAAGATTCATCCATGTACTCACTTGAAATGCATTATATTGATAGTCTTGAATATAAACAGCTTTTTACAATAGTCGTTGACTTGCTCGTGCGACAGGTGCTGGGTTTTCCAGCTGTTGTTAATAGTTTCTACAGTGGGCGGTGGCATCACTATCCCACCCGGAAATATTACAGGCTGTCTGTACTTCGGTATCTGTATGTCATCATTGGATTTTTCATTGTCACCTTCGTTTACTTCAGTAGAACCTTCTGCTGTGTTCTTCTCTTCTGTAGTGCCTTGAACATTCTCGCCAATAACGTTGCTCTCTCCTACAGTTGTCTTCAGATCTGCATCTTCATTGTTATCACAATTTCCTACATTACCGTTTACTTGTGTAATGTCGCCAATATTATCCCTTGCATTTATGTTTGATTCTGCATCTATTTCATCAATTTTTGGTACTCTATCTTTGATACTGTGAGCATGTTTGCCTGTAACAGGACAAACTAATTCAGGCCTAATTTCAGTATTAAGTTTGTCTTTTTCATCCTTAAATGGACAGTTAGATGAAGTTTTAGTGTCTATATTAGATTTGCATATAGTTTTGTCATTATTTGTCTCTTCAGATATATCTATGATTGAAGTGACCTTGTTTTCCTCAATGTCAGAAGTGTCAAGTGTACCATTACAAATTGCATTTTCAGCATTGTCATCAGTAGGCGTTTCTGCAGTCTTAATTATATGGGATGCACTGTCACTTATATCAAGACTTTTGTTCATCTCATTGTTATCATTAGCTGGAATATTTTCGCTTTTAACATTAGATTGATTAATATTGGTTAAGTTGTTAGCCCATGTGCCGTTTTTTATCTGTTCTTCGATTTTCCTATCGATTTCTTGTTGCTTCTTTTCTTCTTCTAGTGCTCTTCGGTATGCCAAACAAGGAATTGCGCTTATAGGTATATCATGACGCTGAAATATTAGTTGTGAATGATAAATATTATAAATGAATAGCATTATCTACAAAAAGGCTACTGATGTAGTTTAAAAAATCTAAAATTTTTTGAATTAGCTATTTCAGCTAATTCAGAAAATTTTACTCTGCAGCCCTGTCCTTCTCTTAGAATCAATTTCAATAGATTCAATTAATCTAAGATTCGTATGAGGGTATGGTCTTTTGTCAGATGGATAGATAATCATAATATATTCTTTATTTTCACAAAGCCTGAGAAGACGAAGTTCGAAGTGAATTTTGATGGATGTTAAAAACTTAAGTACAACAAAACAACAAGGTGTCAGATCCAGACACCACAAATGTTTAAAAACAGCCACTCCACTCCCAGGTGGCGGGGTATGTGTTACGCATTTTCCTGACGAAAAAAAGGACTCAAAGGGTTGCGAAATCTTATGTCAAAAATTATGTGAACTTTAAGTAGATACAATACGACGACATCTACATCAAAACTATTATAGATATTAAAAATACGCCTCCCGACTTAAGGAATGGTTTGTTTCGTAAGCTTTGCTACAAAGTCAAAGTTATTACACCTGACCCTGGTCAATGCTGCCTGGTTTGTTTCGTAAATTTTCATACAAAGTCCTGTCCTGTGTTTATGTTCCGCCTATTCCTGTCAGCTGTGACGAAATGTTTCCTAGGCTACTCCTGTCAGCTGTGACAAAATGTTTCCGAAACTACTCCAGATAGCTGTGACAAAATGTTTCCGAAACTACTCCAGATAGCTGTGACAAAATGTTTCCTAGACTACTCCTATCAGCTATGACGAAATGTTTCCTAGCCTACTCCTGTTAGCTATGACAAAATGTTTCCTAGACTACTCCTGTTAGCTATGACAAAATGTTTCCTAGCCTACTCCTGTTAGCTATGACAAAATGTTTCCTAGACTACTCCTATCAGCTGTGACAAAATGTTTCCTAGACTACTCCTATCAGCTATGACGAAATGTTTCCTAGACTACTCCTATCAGCTTTGACGAAATGTTTCCTAGCCTACTCCTGTTAGCTGTAACAAAATGTTTCCTAGACTACTCCTATCAGCTATGACGAAATGTTTCCTAGCCTACTCCTGTTAGCTATGACAAAATGTTTCCTAGACTACTCCTATCAGCTATGACAAAATGTTTCCTAGCCTACTCCTGTTAGCTATGACAAAATGTTTCCTAGACTACTCCTATCAGCTATGACAAAATGTTTCCTAGCCTACTCCTGTTAGCTGTAACAAAATGTTTCCTAGACTACTCCTGTTAGCTATGACAAAATGTTTCCTAGACTACTCCTATCAGCTATGACGAAATGTTTCCTAGCCTACTCCTGTTAGCTATGACAAAATGTTTCCTAGAATACTCCTATCAGCTATGACAAAATGTTTCCTAGCCTACTCCTGTTAGCTATGACAAAATGTTTCCTAGACTACTCCTGTTAGCTATGACAAAATGTTTCCTAGCCTACTCCTGTTAGCTATGACAAAATGTTTCCTAGACTACTCCTATCAGCTGTGACGAAATGTTTCCTAGACTACTCCTATCAGCTATGACGAAATGTTTCCTAGCCTACTCCTGTTAGCTATGACAAAATGTTTCCTAGACTACTCCTGTTAGCTATGACAAAATGTTTCCTAGCCTACTCCTGTTAGCTATGACAAAATGTTTCCTAGACTACTCCTGTTAGCTATGACAAAATGTTTCCTAGCCTACTCCTGTTAGCTATGACAAAATGTTTCCTAGACTACTCCTGTCAGCTGTGATAAAATGTTTCCTAGCCTACTCCTGTTAGCTGTGACAAAATGTTTCCTAGACTACTCCTATCAGCTATGACGAAATGTTTCCTAGACTACTCCTATCAGCTATGACGAAATGTTTCCTAGCCTACTCCTGTTAGCTATGACAAAATGTTTCCTAGACTACTCCTGTTAGCTATGACAAAATGTTTCCTAGCCTACTCCTGTTAGCTATGACAAAATGTTTCCTAGACTACTCCTGTTAGCTATGACAAAATGTTTCCTAGCCTACTCCTGTTAGCTATGACAAAATGTTTCCTAGACTACTCCTATCAGCTGTGACAAAATGTTTCCTAGACTACTCCTATCAGCTATGACGAAATGTTTCCTAGACTACTCCTATCAGCTTTGACGAAATGTTTCCTAGCCTACTCCTGTTAGCTGTAACAAAATGTTTCCTAGCCTACTCCTGTTAGCTATGACAAAATGTTTCCTAGACTACTCCTGTTAGCTATGACAAAATGTTTCCTAGCCTACTCCTGTTAGCTATGACAAAATGTTTCCTAGACTACTCCTATCAGCTGTGACAAAATGTTTCCTAGACTACTCCTATCAGCTATGACGAAATGTTTCCTAGACTACTCCTATCAGCTTTGACGAAATGTTTCCTAGCCTACTCCTGTTAGCTGTAACAAAATGTTTCCTAGACTACTCCTATCAGCTATGACGAAATGTTTCCTAGCCTACTCCTGTTAGCTATGACAAAATGTTTCCTAGACTACTCCTGTTAGCTATGACAAAATGTTTCCTAGCCTACTCCTGTTAGCTATGACAAAATGTTTCCTAGACTACTCCTGTTAGCTATGACAAAATGTTTCCTAGCCTACTCCTGTTAGCTATGACAAAATGTTTCCTAGACTACTCCTATCAGCTGTGACAAAATGTTTCCTAGACTACTCCTATCAGCTATGACGAAATGTTTCCTAGACTACTTCTATCAGCTATGACGAAATGTCTCCTAGACTACTCCTATCAGCTATGACGAAATATTTCCTAGACTACTCCTATCAGCTATGACGAAATGTTTCCTAGACTACTCCTATCAGCTGTGACGAAATGTTTCCTAGACTACTCCTATCAGCTGTGACGAAATGTTTCCTAACCTACTCCTGTTAGCTGTAATAAAATGTTTCCTAGACTACTCCTATCAGCTATGACGAAATGTTTCCTAGACTACTCCTATCAGCTATGACGAAATGTTTCTTAGACTACTCCTATCAGATGTCACGAAAAGTTTCCCAGCCTGCTCCTGTCTGCAGTGTCAAAATTTTTCTTATCCTACTACTATCAGCAGTGACGAAATGTTTCCTAGACTACTCCTATCATCTGACACAAAAAGTTTGCTAGCCTACCGCCAGTTGTGATTCTCCGGTTTCAACCACTTACCCTCGTGTTGCCCGTGCCCAGGAAGTACGGCTTAGATAGCGTGCACACCCTTGTGGAGCGATGCATGTACACCGGCATACCGCTGTAGTGTCGCACCATCATCCAGTCCAGCGGCAGCACTTCCCAGTGGTTAACACCCTTCTCTGTTTATTTGGAAAACATGGACCATTGCAAAGTTTGCAGTAAAAGCAATTGTGTTTTGGGAATCCGTACAACTAAATTACCAGAATCACCGAAATAGTATAAAGACTATTACGACAGATGGGTGGACCCAAGCTGAAAGTACTTCGAGTTTTTTGTAATAAAATACTAGTTTATCATTTTCTTTTATACATACAAGCATCTCAATAATTTTACTAGACTACATACAATATTTATAAATAATCATCAACAAGAAAACATGTAAGACTTAATACAAAGGTTCTAAATGTTTTAATCTCATACCTTCAAGTACTATTTTCTGCCTAGTCACATAAGGCTTTTCCTTCGGTTGAGGTGGGCCCTTAAAACCTTCTGGCAGGTCCTCCTCCAACATTTTTTCAATTTCTTCTTCAGGCACCTCTGATTTCCCTGAAATCAGTATTCTATTTTTTCAACTTGAGCAGAGTTAAATATTCCATCAATACAACTTGTACCCAAACCAGAAAGAGATCAACTAGTCTCATTTCATTTTTTAACTCAATGTAAGGAAATCACAAAATTTTTGGATATACCTACATGTTTTGGAACAATAGCTCAATTTATTCTTTAACCTGATCTTCTACACTCCAGAAAATTGGTTAATATAAAAGAATATTTACACAAATCAGATATATAAATTTACAGTCTTATTATGGCATACCATCTGCAGTTAGAGGTATTTCATACTACTATGTAATAAACTAGTATTTCAAATTAATGAATTTATATTTATACCATCAGAGCTGTCAGACTCATCATTGCTGTCTTCATCGTTTGATTTAACCTCATCCAAAACTTTGAATTCCTTTAGTTTCTCAAGCTCCTCTGCAGTCACAAAGTTGTTATACTTTGGATTGCATGCTTGATCTGTTTGTTTCTTACTAAACTCATCATTGTTGATATCTGTGTCGTCTGATATAGGGTCACCTATTTTCATTCGTTTCGCAGGTGGATCATCCTCACTCATTTTTACCTACCTAAAAGCATTTACTTAACATACATATAACATAAAAGTGCCTGATAAAACATGACTAGGTACTTTTATTTACTTGTACACTTGGCAGTAAACATTGTGATTAAAACCTAGGACACCAAACCTGCGCAGCAGATGATTTTGTATGTAAAATTGGTACTGCACAATCTTTGATATCTGTAGTGTATGTACAAAACGTTTGCTACGGTCTGTACCCCACACAAGAAAATAAAAACACTTAGTTAAATTGTTTTCATTGGTTAGATGTCAGTATACTATAGTAATATATGTTATTTACAGGATTGTTACCATGCAAGCGCCATGATTACAGAGTAACTGAATTTATTGCGGGTAGGTTGTTATTGGCAGACATAACGGTCTACCCTCCGACGAAGTATTTTATTGCGTTTGATACCCACTGTCCACATTCGCACTATTCACTCGAAAGTGTTTTCGACATACAACACTTACAGTATCGGATTGCGATACAACTTTTTTGATTATTGTAGGTTTTACACATACAAACCATAGGATTCCAGACACTCAACAATTTAAACTCATGGTAACAATGCAGTAAATAACGTATATTACTATGATGTTAGTGAACATGAAAGTTTAAAACAATATAATGTCAGTATACATTTCGTAATGCCCAGAATCGATCAAATATTTAACTATGATACCCTAAGTAATAAAACCAACTAAGAAATAAAGGTCCAAATATTAAAATCCCTTATAAGGAATACCATTGTTAAAGAGCAAGATGCTTTTCTTATTCACCCAATTATTTAGAATACAAAATAATGGGAATGATTCTGGCATAGCAACTTTAGTTTCCATATAATTAAATCATAACTTTATTAACTTATTATTAGATATTAAGTTTCAAAAATTTATAGATATATATCAAAACAAATCGGCTCACTATTCAATTAATCTATCTAAAAGAGATTTCAATCACAATTACTGGACAAAAACATATTTTCTCTACCATGTTATAAATAACAGCTGAACTACAATTATATAAAGTAAGTAATGTATATATTAGTAAATTCTCAATTTTTTTAATTATGTTGACACCAAAACTTTTAAGATAGATAAAATTGTAAGAAATATATTTTTAACAAAGGATAAATTCAAATTTGGAACATATGCTGATAATATTTGAGCCGGCCAAAAAATAGTCAATGCTAAATCATAAAAAAAAGTATACAAAGCTTGCAAATAAATAAAATATAAAGGTAGATAGGTATGATTCATTAAAAAAGATTATATGTTGTTACACCAGAAGTCAATAGCATTATTTCCATACTGAAAAAGAAAACAGTTCTAAATATAAAAGCTATAATTGCACAAGCCATTTTTTATAACTGTTTTGTACATCCTATTTTACAGAACTCTTTTTTATTTCAGGTACACAGGTCAGTCACAAACCATCTCAGCCCAACAGTTGTAGAAAGATAGTCCACAAATAGCGATAGCGCTAAAATTCCAATGTATTGTAACAGTTGGATTTTATCCATCGCTGACTGCAGACTTTCGATACAACAGTCACCATGTTAAAGCCGTGTAATAAACCAGCGAAGACAAAACAGAATTGCGGTAGACTACCTCTGGCAAACAAATACAGAGGATAGTTTGACGCAAAACTGCTAAAACGACTGCAACGATTGTGCATACGCCTTCTGTAGATCGAACAGGAATCGAATTCTTTTACTGGAATGGTCACTTGTAAGACCTCTTACCTAGCGGTTGGTCAAGATACTTCATATATAAATTATAAATAAAATACCTATAAATATTTAGTTACTTGCCCATATATTTAATTTAGGTTGATCTCAACCGTTAGGCAGTCATAAAAAGAAGAGGTTTGGTAGAGGTTACTTACGTGACCTAAATCCTCATTAAATTTTATTACCTTATACTAAACACAAAGGCAGGTTAGTTTTTATTTTGGTAAAATTATTGATCTAACTGTAAGGCATCAAAATCTAGAAAAATAAATAAATCGACAAAGAAAACTACGGACTTATCACGAAAATACTCATGTACTCATGAAAATTTACGTTACAACAAAAGTTTTTTTTTATCATTCTCCCTTTTTAGGCGAAGGCAAAGGAAACAATGCCCATACAGCCTTATCGTCAGCTTTCTTTGTTCTTTTTTTTAAAGATTAGAAGGTGATATTTGTGGCCCATTCTGATGTTTCTTGGGGTGTTTATTTTAAAGATTCCACCAATTGTTCATTTGAGCAGACGCGTGTAACTTGCATGACAGCCAGTAGTGATGTAGTGTTAATAACTATATCGGTTAGGGGAGAGTGGGGGAATTGCGGACGCGGGGTAAATACGGACTAGCAAGTTTCTACTCATTCCCTCCACCCGCGGCAGCCCGGTGCTGTCGTCTATTTCTTTCCGCTATTTTGATGCCACGCAAAAACTTACGACAGCCGGCTGCGCACAGTTTGAAAGCTAGGTAAAATTAAAAAAAAAGTGTATATTGATCTAATTTTTAGTGTTTTTTAATTCGAGGGACAGGTCTGTATGCTAAGTGATGGTAAAAAGTGATATTTTCTATGGATCGCTTTGTCAATGGAGTTTGAATCGCCAATGTTTGTTTTTATGGAACGTTTTCATAACCTACATTTTTTTTTTGTTTCCTCCCAGGCGGGGTTGAGTGTGAGAAATCCTCATGGATACCCTACAGCCGGCTGTAAGGTTATGTCAGACTCTTACTGACTAAAAAACACCCTTTAATCATGCTTATGGCCAGAAGGGCCTTACAAGCTTCATCTGAAGCTTGTAAGGCCCGAGATCGGCCCAAGCGATCAACCCCCGAGAGGGGGTTGATGCGGCGCTGCGTTAGTTTAAACTAGTGCATAGTTTAAAAAAATGCGCTTAGAGGACAAGTGCACTCAGATATGCACTTGAAACGGGAGGGGACTGAGAGGAATCGAACCTCTCTGTGTCGGGGGGGCGGGGGGGACTCACCGCGAGTGTTGGATCCTCAGCGGCCAGGAGAGCCGCGAGATCGCGTGTGAGTTTATTGTGTGTGGCTGTGAGTGCGTGTTTGGACCTACGGGGCCTGTAGCGAGATGGAGTGTGTGGGGCGTATCCCGACGCCGATCTAATGAGTGGGTTAGAGTGCTCTTCTGCAGCTTTGAAGAACCGTTCCGAGCACTCTGTGAGGTGTGTTTGAATTGTGTCGAGTTGTAGGTCCCTGTGGAGGTCCGCGTTACGGACGTACCACGGGGCCCCTGTGGCTATGCGGCAGAAGCGATTTTGAAGCACTTGAAGTTTGTTCAAAATCGCTTCGTCCGCGTGTGCGAACACTGGTGATGCGTATGTGAGGACCGGGCGTATGCAAACTTTGTAAAGCGTTCGCTTGTTTCGGAGTGACATTTTGCTGTATTTACCGAGCATCGGGTGGAGGCGGCTCATATAAAAGCGCGCGTTCGCGACTACGCGTGTGATGTGTGCAAGGAAGGTGAGTTTTTTGTCTAGTGTGATCCCTAGATTTCTCTCTTTGATTTAAAAATACCCAGTTGGGTTAATTGCGGACACGGCTTGCGGGGTAAATACGGACGTCCGAAAACCAAAGTACGACAAGTCAAACAAGTCAATCTTCATCAGTACCGCTTAGTGATTTAATAAAGGTCCCAACTCTACAAATTCATCGTAGCAAACGGTCAGTAAACAAAAAGCATTCCATCATTTTTACCAGCACCCCGGAAAAAAAGAATCTAGAAGAAAAGGAACAAAAGAAAATAAAACTACATCTAATAAGCTGAAAAAGTCAGAACTTTCTACAGGAAAAGGATCAAAGAGTTTAAAAAATCTGAATAATTTTGAAAATGAAGGAAATGTTGATTACTTTTGCATTTATTATCAGGAAAAGTACAGCGATCCACTCGTCGAAGACTGGATTATGTGTTTAAAGTGTAACAAGTGGGCTCATGCTTTACTGCCTAACAAGTAAAATCACAAGTAAAGCCTGCATGCAGGCTTTACTTGTGATTTTTGTCAATGATGTGGACCTAGTCCGTAAATACCCCATGCTGTCCGTAATTAACCCAGGGTCAGTCCGAATTTACCCAGAAAATAATAACGGACAGACAAGGTTTTGTTTTTGCTAAAAATATTCTATGTGTTGATTGATCCCGTTTAATAAGTATAATTGTCTTTGTAGATGTATAACTAAAGATTAATAATTAATAAAGACAGACTAATTATTACTAATTGTACGAATGTTGTGCATTATTTCCCTTCAGCGTCCGCAATTCCCCCATCCTCCCCTACTATAAACCAATTAAAGTTGACAAGTCAAAATGCCGCAGAACTCCGTGAAAAAATGCCAAAAAAAATACTTTTAGTCAACGATATTAAATACCCTAGCTAGATACACCAACACGAACAAAAGGTACATCGGATACGAAAGGTACACGTATGGAGCTCCGTAAGATGATCGCATAATCAAAAACAATATAAGGCATTATAAACATTGAGAGTCACCTTTAATTCATACTATAAAAGGTCTTAATTAAAACGCATGTGTCAAAGAGTTTAGACGGTTCGAAACGCAAGCCCGTAAAATTTTACGATACGTAAAGTGTCGTTTTTTCGACAGATATATTATAATCAATGATTATTAATTTAACGCATTTTTAGATAATTTTGTTGTAATACTTATTATAAACTGATTTTGATTTAATATAAAAAAATGGATGCGTGTAACTTATGTACGCGCGTGAGAAGTTATACTTCTTTAGCATCATTAAAAATATTTTTTAATTGCATGCAAATAATTAATAATTACAATAAAATAATAAAAGGACTGGAAAAGGATAGTTAACACAGTCAATTAAGTTCAGTTTTAATTTGAAAAATTAAATAAATATTCAAAATATTCAATTAAAATCACTACAGAATTTAAGTTATTAGTCCAGTAAATAAGTTTTGTAACACCATAGTATTAAATATCATCACGCCGCCCGTTACTAGATGGCGCTGTACGCATGTGAATCGCGCTATCCTATACCGACACCGATTGTATGGGCACATCATAGGATCAAATATCATCACGCCGACCGCTACTAGATGGCGCTGTACGCATGTGAATCGTGCTATACTATACTGACACCACTTGTATAAGGTGTAGGGCCTATCAGTGTTGCCAGGTCTCCAGATTTTACAGGAGATCTCCTGTTTATCTGTAATTTCTCCTGTTCTACTGTTTTTCTACATGAATCTCGAATACGAATTTATTTTTTAAAAAAATATAAAAGTAATGTTATTGTCTAAAAGGGAGGGGCGGCAGAAGCCACAGAAACACATTCGTTTGATTTACCAATTCTAGGGGAGGGGGGGGGGGGGGTGTAAATCGAAAGAAAAAGTACGCATCCTCATGCATACCTCTGCATCTACTGTTTTTCTTGTAGCTCTTTCCATACATCTACTGTTTTTTTCTATAACGCCTCCCGATTTTTACAAAATCGGACCTGGCAACACTGGGGCCTATTGTCTTGCACGCTATACGCTTCCACCACGTGGGACGTCTTAGTGTCTTGATAATAGTATACATGTACTTCCACCCTTGTGGGATACAGTAATACCATTTCTCCTACAAATATTGAATAGTAATCACAATATAAGTATTTTCTACCTACGCCTATCTTTATTTGACGTCAGTTTTCTCACACTCCCCCTTCGCCCTCCCGCACATTCTTACAGTTATAATAAATATGAAAACAGTGATCAGAGGCGACGAGCGTCCCAACATGTGCGACTAAGAGATCCTATTACTATTTTGTTGGAAGCTTTTTTTCGAGACTTACGAGTAATGTGCGGTTTAGCGGCCGACTTCATGGTGTTACTTTTCTGTTACAGTGTTGCGCGCGCATCTTAAAATTTCACTCTCATCATTTTTTCATAACGCGCCCGCGGCTAACTTCATTATGTTACTTTTGTGTTACAGTGATGCGCGCGCATCTTAAAATTTCACTCTCATAATTTTTTCATAACGCGGCTAAAGAAGTATAACTTCAATATTTGTGATGTTCAAATGCATGATTGGTTATATAGCCGTCTCTTTTTCTTGCGGTCCGTACTTGCGATATTGCTTAGTAAGTTTCTTTAATAACTATTTATTTTTATTACAATATAATTTATTTATAACGGTCACGCACGATGTAGTTTAATATTCTACTATATCAACTACAGTTATGTACTGGCAACTGCGTGACAGACTACCGTCCAAGAGTTAAGTCTCTTTCGAAACCGTTTTTCCTGTCGTTTAGATCTAACGGAAAGTGGACCTTGGCTACTTTCGTAAAGGCTTACATTATTTCCTTACACAACAGCAAGTAAGCATTCCTGTTACCGTTAGGTATATAACTTCCTTGCATTTAAGTAAGTTATTTTTTTATTCTTTAATGAGATCAGATGGAAGAATGAGAGGACAAACATGTGAAGAGTCAAAATTGTATAAACGATAAATAAAACTTCTTTGCTCCTATAAATTTCTTTATTCTGCCAAAAATATACATATTTAAACAAAAGGAAAACATGTACTTACAACCTAGATGTTATCACAGTAAATTGCATTCCAAGATGCAACACAGTACTCGTCATGAATACATTTTTTTTACAGATAGTTGAAAATAAATAAATAATTATTACACTTTACACAAAATACATTTAATACCAAATTGTTTAGTGGTTTTTGCGGATCGTAGTGGGAGTGTTGTAACCTTAGCACGAACCAATATCGAATGGAGAAGTATACGCAAAGCTCAACATAGATGGCGCTGCAAACGCTTGACCCAAACCACAGCCGAATATTGCAGCTGTCAAATTTTAAACGAGTTTTTTTGTTGGTAAGAATATTAACGTCAAAAAGTTTTCTATGGTAATTTGAACAGCGCCACAACGGTCGTAACGAGAATTAAAAAATCTTCTAAATGAGATATAGATTAGTACTGCTAATGCTAGCGTAATAAAGGTCATCGGCTTGAATAATACCTATAATATAATACTACATAATCTCTTATCTATTAGACAAGTCCGTCCGTCCGTCCGTCCGTGGTGCTGTTTCAGCGGCCAAACCGTAAGAGATAGATAAAGAGAATGTTTAAGTTATAAGTTGAGAATAGTCTGATAAGACTACAAACCGGATGTGAGTAACGTAGCACTTCCGGTTTTCGAGAAATCACGTGATTTCTATTTCAAACGAAACCACACAAAATCTCCGAAGTTCTCAATTAATTAAATACATTTTTTTTGGTGAACATTTGGTTCATTGGTTTGCTAGTTATTATTATTTCACGCGCATTCATTCTTATTATCGCACGTCGATGGCGACGGGCGGAGGTGGGGTCTCCTACAGATCATTATCAGCCTATTAATGTCCCAACTGCACAGGAGCACAGGTCTTCCCTATGGATGTAATAGGGAGATTGGGCCATGACCCACCACTCGAGCCCAGTGCGGATTGGCGTCTTACCGTGCGTTCCGAAGCACGCAGGAACTCGAGATAGAAAATTTTGGTCACCCATCCAATGACCGACCACTGCGAATGTAGCTTAACTTCACGATCGCAGCCGAACATGCTTACCACCGGCGCCATCGAGGTACTCCTCCAGATACTTGTCCGGTTTGAAATTCTTCGGGGGTGGTATCGTGTTGAAATTATTGCTTTGAAATGCCGAGATGCGCGATAAAAGTTTGCCGAAATTATAAAGGACGCATCAAAACAACCAACAAAGTCACTTACCATCGCTAAGTAACTCAATAATCATTATTATTATCATATTAGTTAAAAAATTTACGCCTGCATCTTGACATTTTCAAAGTGATGTCAGTGTCTCATTACAAAATTCCTCAAAAAAGTAAGTATGGCGTAAACAAAATTTTTACCGATTGCAGCCGTGCGATGGAGAAAAGCTTTTTTTATATCGTATTCTATAGACCAGGGTTGGCCGACTCGATTAGACCCAAGATGTAATGTTGACTGTTGAATCCCTTTTTGATCTACCAATTACATACTTCTAGAAATCTTAAATGAAACGGTAATGTTCAGTACACAATTATGTAGTATTTTGTTATTTTATTAAGACGGGAAACATAAAAGTTAAAAAGTGCCCAACTACATATTTATTTATATTACTACGCGTCATTATTAAAAGTGGTGCATTTGAAATGTATCTGCAAATTTTGACTAATGTTTACGGAGTCTGTAAAAAGTGGCTATACATCATTCTGTTGTGTATTTCAGTAAAAATAACCAAATCAAAAACTCCATTTTCAACTTGCCGCGAAATCGTTTCTCTGGACGAACCGGAAGTTTACTTGCGTGTGACGTCATTTTAGGCTCCGCCAATCCCAAGCGTTTTGGGTCACGTGACAATAGAAACTATTATCATTTTCGTTAGTTTTTAGTAAAATTATGATTTTATTTTTGTAAAAATAGTAAAAAACCCCTGCAACTATTCATTCTAAACACAGATGCCAACAATTGGCACTTTATTTTTAACACTGTCAAATACCCTATTCTTAAAAAAAGGATTAAAGGATACGCACGGCGCCATTTATAGGAGTGTACGGTAAAAAGTTTTACCGCCCGCTCCGTTGCATAGCTCGTAATTTTGAACTTTCGAACAATGTATACAATATATTGTTTTAAACTTTCATGGCCACTAACACTAAAGCTATTAACGGTATTGTTACCATGTACCTTGTATTTTATGAGTCTCCGATATTTCGGCACTGTTGCAAGCGCCATGATCACGGAGTAACTGACAGTAACAGTTACTCTGTGCAGGCTATATCGGAGACTCATAAAAAAAATTGTGTGTGTCAGCTCCGACGCACGACCGGAGTTTACACTCTAAAAACGATTGTCTTTGAACAGACACAAAACAAAATCAAGTCCGAAGAAGTCGGTTACAAGTAGAGATACCTCAGGAATCATCCCATGGTTTCGACTATTATAGGTTCCATGTCACACATTTTATCATCTAACATCAGCGATATTCATCATATATTTTATTATGTATTTCTGGAAACACAATTTCAACAATATCACACACTAGTTATCATTTTGTAAATATGTATTATAATTCCATCTGTACTGAAAATCACTATTCCAGAGTTACCTGGACACTAACCGGCATTTCTCTATATTCTGTTATTTATTTGTTTTCATTAATTTTTCTCCGATTTTATCTATTTTTAGTTTATTTATTTTATTGACATTTGTGACAACTTAATGTTTTTTTATCCGTTGCCATGGCTAAAAGTGAAAGATGCGCAGATGAGGTTGCGCACAGAAACGTAATGAGGTTTCATTAATGTCATTCATCGATAGATTTTACTCCTCACATTTTTCTCCTACCGGGCCCCTTATATATGCAAATCAATTCTTAGGGAGTAAACTCCAAAAAATATGGTACATGGTAACAATCATCCCGTTAATAGCTATAATGTATACAATCTCAGTGAATGCATTTTTTTGAGTAAACGTGTTGAAAAGGTTATTTTAATAGGCTTGAGTATTGAATAGTTCATGTTCGTTCATGCTTATTGCCCCGTCTATGGCGTCTAGCAGGGGCTGGAGCTCCTACGGACACTTGTGCGGATTGTAATTCTTCTGGAGCGGTGTCGGAAGCTGCTAACTGTCCCCGAGCTTCTACGAAGAACATCACGTCGCGAAGTTGCTCTTTTAAGTCGGCCACCTGGTGAACATTCGATTGATATAATTTTTTTTTTTTCACACCAATTAGCCTAGCCCCAAAGTAAGCACTGTAAGGCTTGTGTTATGGGATGCTAGGGTAACGGATAGAATACATATATAAGTATATTCATATAGAAATACATATTAAACATCCATGACTGGAGTACAAATGCTCGTAATCATCACACAAATATCTGCCCCCACCGGGATCCGAACCCGGGACCTCTTGAGTCGGCGACACCATGAAACCCGGCGTACAAACCACTCGGCCACGGAGGTCGTCATTATAGTACCCATACTAAATAAATGAAATGAAGTAAATATTTCCAATTATCATACCGGTTAGCCTAGCCCCAAAATAAGCACTGTAGGCTTGTATTTTGGGGTACTATGATACTAACGGATACAATACATATACAGTTAAACCCGTTTAAGACGATTTCACAGGGACTCAACCAAAAACGCGTCTTAAGCGGGAAAGCGGGATAGGAAAATTTCGAATGTAGATATTAATGTATTAAATGAATTAAGAATATACAATATTTAAGAATTATGGATGTTATAAAAAATGTAGTGTATTATTATTACGTTATTCAAATTAATCACTTATTTTAGTTTGTCAAAAAGATTTTGAGGCATTAGCAATTACAAGATTTTCAATATAATTTAACTATTGCAGTGCATTGTCGCTTTGATTCAAAGAAGTTAGATAGCGTCTTAAATCATTAACTGCTGATAATGCCTGGGCGTGTGATAAAATAGGAGTTGACTCCTCTTTTTCTTGATCCTGATGACCTAGGGCCTGGGGGTCATTCGCCTAACGGAAATGCTTTGGAAAACGCTAACGCTTACGATTTCATTTTGTTATTTCTAGCCGCCTGAGGTTTTCAAATGCCTCCCGCTCTATTTTTTTCTTTTGCATTGGTAATAACAATATTAAAGAAAATGAGCGTGAGGTATTTGAAAACCTTCAGCGGTAAGAAATAACAAGATGAAATCGTAAGCGTTAGCGTTTTCCAAAACATTCCCTTTAGGCGAATGGCCCCTGTTTTTGTGTATATTTCACATTCTCATTGAATTTTATGCTGTCGCAAGAGGTAATATGTGTGGTACGTGTTGGCGATTTAGGCATATTAAACGGGATGACGAATCGTATTAAGCGTTAAGAAATGTATGAAGACATGTCTCAAGTTGCAGGGACTGACGCAACATGGCGTATTATGCGAGAAATCGTATTAAGCGTGATCGTATTAAACGGGTTCTACCATATATTCATATAGATATACATATTAAACATCCATGACTGGAGTAAATATGCTCGTATTCATCACACAAACATCTGCCCCTACCGGGATTCGAACCCCGGTACCTGTCGAGTAGGCGACACCTTGAAACACGGAGAGAACACCGAAACAAGTCATTGAGGTCGTCATACAATTAATTACAATAGGGTATTTGACAAGTTTTAGAAAACAATCTCACGTTATTGACCAATGTTTATGGAGTCCGTAAAAAGGCGATATCCATCATTCTGTTGCGTATTTCAGTAGAAATAACCAAATCAAAACTCCATTTTCAAGTTTTTCTGGAAAATATGGCGTCTTACTAGTGTGTGCCGTCACCCGACTGTTATTAAAACGTCAAACGATACAATGTAATGTCACTTTAACCGGAAGTTTACTTGCGTGTGACGTCATTTTAGGCTCCGCCAATTCCAAGCGTTTTGGGTCACGTGACAATAGATAAGAAAACTATTATCTTTTTCGTGGGTTTTTAGTAAAAAAGCCCCTGCATTCTAAACACAGATGCTAACAATTGGCACTTTATTTTTAATACTGACAATTACCCTATTCAAAACAAGACTACATCAGTATAATACTTGTGAGGTACTCGATGGCGCAGGTGTTTAGCGCGTTCATTGTTGAAATTCCATCTCGAGTTCCTTCGTGCTTCGGAAGGCACATTAAGCCGTTAGACCCGGCTGCATCTGCAGTCGTTAACACCCGCCAATCCGCACTGGGCCCGCGTGGTGGGTCATGGCCCAATCTTCCTATTCCATCCAAAGGGAAGGCCTGTGCCCCCAACAGTAGAGAGATTCATAGGCTAATGATAATAATACCATGATTCTCATTAATTCCGCATTATTATTGTTACTATTATTATTTTTTGTATCAATTTGACATTATGTTATTATTTTTTACATCAATTTGACATACATTATTAATTTTAAATCAAACATTGATTATTAATTGCACTATTTTTTATTGATTCCAATTATTCATTATTAATTACATTGTACTTTTCTCAATCGAATGTTGTGTATGCTTGTAAAGGCTTGCATACATGTCTTAGAATAGGTATTATTTTAATTTTTAATGCGTTTATATGTTTAGCTGTAAGTACACCTATTAAATAAATAAATACCTGTGCCAGGAAGTTTTGCTCCGTCCTTTTAGCTGTGGCCTGCCACTCGGCGTGTGTGGCTGCCAGTGCTGTGGCCAAACCGCGCTCCTCCGATAATTCGCACTGTAATGACTGCACCCTGTTCACGACAATAATAAAATTTAACGATATATTTTTTTAAACTTTCATGGTCACTAACATTATAGCTATTAACGGGATTGTTACCATGTACCTTGTTTTTACGAGTCTCCGATATTTCAGTTACTCCGTGATCATGGCGCTTGCAACAGTGCCGCAATATCGGAGACTCATAAAAAACAAGGTACATGGTAACAATCCTGTTAAATAGCTATAAAATTTAACTACCTGTTTTAATTGTTTAATTTTTCTTTTATGACTTTATTTATTTGCACTCTGTTTACACTTTATTTTTATGTGTAACATCTTTTCTCTCGCTTTCCTGCAATCTGTGGGAGTGATTTCGTGAAATGGGACGGACGTGTGTAACAGGAAGTCGCGAAAGCGCGAGCTATTTGATTTGATTTTAGAACATAATGTTCAAATTGCTTATTCCTTTTGTAGTAGGTTTTATTTACTTTTTTACTAATACAAGGAGAGGTTTCAAATGTTACACATCATACGCGACTACTGTAAGGCTCGCTCATTTTTTATATGTTTACTACGTACACGGCAAAGTTTATCGGCTTCATTACATAGTATTATTTAATACTGTGTACACAGTGCGAGCATGTGGCGTAAATTGGAACTACTGCCGCCGTCTTTGTATACGTCATATTTTGTATGTCATTTACGTAGACAGTGGCGCCCTTCTTGAACTGTCACTCCCATTTATAAAGATTCTTGTCGCACTATACGTCACTTGTTGGTGATCTGTACTAATATCAAATCTAATATTTAATAAATATAAAATCTAATATTTAATTTGTTATGTTCCGAGTGCGAAATGTCATTTTAAAAATTTGTATCAAAACTTGAATAGCAGCGCCGCAGGAACGGACGCAACGAGAATTAAAAATCAGTACACATTTGACGTATATCCAGTTCGAATTTAACTACTCGAATTCGATAATGGTTCGTGCTAAAGGTACTGCTGCATCTTCCTGTCTCCCGCCTTGTTCTGCTTGCTGAGCGCCGTCACCTGTTCCTTCAGACTGGCCGCTTCAGTTTCTGCCTCGCTCGCTCCCTGTACGGATGATATGATGCTGTGTATACGTCACTTGTTGGTGATCTGCTGCAGCTTCCTGTCTCCCGCCTTGTTCTGCTTGCTGAGCGCCGTCACCTGTTCCTTCAGACTGGCCGCTTCAGTTTCTGCCTCGCTCGCACGCGAACGGAGCCGCTCGCATTCTTCCGCGTGATCGCATTCTATCCTGTGAGAAAAGGTAATGTGTGAAAATGTCTCAAGGGCAAATTTTTCAATATCGGATTAGATATTGCAAACATCAGATTCTATCAGATTTTAGTCCAGTCAAAAGAAATTTGATTGCAAATTGAATTTTTATAAGTATGTGCACGTCGCAATGTGCGGACGCAATCGCGTTTCATACAGTTGTGATGACGTCAAGCAAACCGCGATCTGAGCGCACGTTAAATAATCAAGTTAACATAGTTATTATAATATGAAAATCTTTTTTTTTTATTTGTTATACGTAGGTTAGTGTTTACATGGTAAGTATATAAATTTTTTGTTAGTATCACTACATTTCCATTTTAAATTAGTGTGGAGATGCCATCCGCCTGGAATACCTCTAGAGGCACTCGCCAATTCTCGGCTTGAGGTCCCCTTAGGATCTTGCTGTCCCCAAACCAGGTGATGCTGTAAAGGTCATTTCCATACAATAGCCTACGCACTAAAAAAAAAAGGTGAGTATACTGACTGCGCGAGCCGGCGCTCGTAGTGGTCCCGCTGCGCGTCGAGCTGCGAGGTGAGCACGTATGTGACCTGACTGAGTATACTGACTGCGCGAGCCGGCGCTCGTAGTGGTCCCGCTGCGCGTCGAGCTGCGAGGTGAGCACGTATGTGACCTGACTGAGTATACTGACTGCGCGAGCCGGCGCTCGTAGTGGTCCCGCTGCGCGTCGAGCTGCGAGGTGAGCACGTATGTGAGCTGACTGAGTATACTGACTGCGCGAGCCGGCGCTCGTAGTGGTCCCGCTGCGCGTCGAGCTGCGAGGTGAGCACGTATGTGACCTGACTGAGTATACTGACTGCGCGAGCCGGCGCTCGTAGTGGTCCCGCTGCGCGTCGAGCTGCGAGGTGAGCACGTATGTGACCTGACTGAGTATACTGACTGCGCGAGCCGGCGCTCGTAGTGGTCCCGCTGCGCGTCGAGCTGCGAGGTGAGCACGTATGTGACCTGACTGAGTATACTGACTGCGCGAGCCGGCGCTCGTAGTGGTCCCGCTGCGCGTGAGCTGCGAGGTGAGCACGTATGTGACCTGACTGAGTATACTGACTGCGCGAGCCGGCGCTCGTAGTGGTCCCGCTGCGCGTCGAGCTGCGAGGTGAGCACGTATGTGACCTGACTGAGTATACTGACTGCGCGAGCCGGCGCTCGTAGTGGTCCCGCTGCGCGTCGAGCTGCGAGGTGAGCACGTATGTGAACTCTAGTTGTGCCGCCTCCAATTTGTCTCCCCCCGGCACCCCCTCGGCAGCTACCAGTTTGCCGTCCGCTTTGTTCTGCACTAAACGATGCACGAAGTTGTCACCTGTTTAGTGAACGATTGAATCCATGAAAAATCCGAATAGGAGAACGATGACGCGAAACAGAAAGCATTTTATATTTTTTGTATTTGGAGCATGTAAATGCTCGATGTTTAAATCTAAGGAAAATATAACTATAATTGCTATTTCTTCTTTCAAATGTTTAATACTTGTACAGGTATTCATTTGACATTTTGGGTTATCTACAATGCTAAGAGATGGCCTTGCAGCTTAAGAAAGGCTAGAAAGAATTGAACACGGCCATCAGGGCCGCGGTAGCATAATGGTTAGTAGAGTCGCCCGGATAGCGAAGGGCGCGGACGTGAGTCCCGTCTGCTGCCTGGTCCGCGTGGAATTTTTTCTAGCAATATTTTCTTTAGAAAGGATTTTGTAGAAGCCGAGCAAAACCGTATTTCATCATTTAAAAATCTGATCCATCAATTTGCTCCAAAAACTACTTTATGGCAGACCTCAATGGCGAAGCAACACCTTTTTCCTTACGTGTTAATGTGTGGCCGACAAGCATATGGCCCGCCTGATGGTAATAGGGTATTTGACAGTATTAAAAATAAAGTGCCAATTGTTAGCATCTCTATTTAGAATGAATATTGGCAGGAGTTTTTACTATTTTTACAGAAAAAATATTCATATTTTCACTAAAAACCCACGATAAAGATAATAGTTTTCTTGTCTATAGTCACGTGACCCAAAACGCTTGGGATTGGTGGAGCCTAAAATGACGTCACCCGCAAGTAAACTTCCGGTTAAAGTGACATTTGATTGTATGGTTTGACGTTATAATGACAGTCGTGTGACGTCACACACCAGTGAGACGCCATATTGTCCAGAGATACGTTTTTCGCGGCAACTTGAAAATAGAGTTTTTGATTCGGTTTTTTTACCGAAATACACAACATAATGATGAATATTATGGACCCTATAAACATTAGTAAATAACATGAGATCGTTTTCTAAAACTTGTCAAAAACCCTATTGGCCAACATAGGCTATAGACGCTTGCGATATCAAAAATAGCATTCGCACCGTTCTCTACCCTGATCCAATCTCCAATCCCATCGTTTAAGAATAAATCGTTTTCCTAAAGTAAATCTTAAAAGGCGCGTAAAAATTTAACAATTATGGAAGAGAAAATAACACAAGGAAATAAAAAATGTGTACACGTAAAAGTCCTTCATGACTAGGTCTTAAAGACAACAACTGTGTTAAAATTCTACTTTCTAGGTCAAAATTATATATTTTATACTGAAATTGTTTCGAAAAATATATTATAGTTCAATAAAAAAAAATGAGCGTTATGTTAAAAATTACCTTAATAAAAGAAAAAAAAACAATTAAAAAAGTTCGGGTTCCACCGATCATTTGAACCGAAAATTTATTGTATCTATATATTTATATTCTAAATGATGTAATGGAAGGTGACTTCAGACGTATCTCTGAAGTCGTTTTTCAACTTGACGACTCTATATATAAAAATACAGGGAGAAAAAAACAGCCCTTGCTGAGTTTCTTGCCGGTTCTTCTCAGTACAAGCCGTCCCCTGCCGCCGTAGTTTTGCGAACCGATGGCGTAGCTTCTTGACCTTCACAAGTGCTTGTATCAGCCTAGACTGAATAAATGACTTTTCATTTCATTTCATTTGATGTCAACCCAAAGACCGTTACCGCTCGGCTATCTGTCACTTATAGTAAATGATAAAATTACGGAAACCTATCTCGTGTCAAATACTCTGATTCCGTTTCATCGAATCTGAAGTCACAAAAATATAGAAGTTTTCACCTCAATCTATATATATATATATATATATATACCTGCATAATCCCAAACACGGTTGGAGCCCAGTTGCAGCGCGTACGTGTGGTTTGAAGCCATGAAGTGCTTCGCTGCATGACCGCCTTCGTATCTAGAATAGAAGATGAATTTTATCAGTTCATCAAGTCCCTTCGGGCATTTAAAGACGAAGAGAACTGAAGAAACAAACGTCTGGAAGTGTCAGGAATGTCATCTCTATACATGATCAGATCAAAAATGGGCATTGTTCTTTCAATCGTGAGGACGGGTTTAAATTGTCGAGTGTCTGGAATCCTGTGGTTCGTATGTGTCAAATCGGAATTAATCGAAATAGTGTCATGTCGCTATCCGTTACTGTAAGTGTTGTGTGTCGAGAACAGTTTCGAGTGAATAGTGAGAATTTGAACAGTGGTACGGGTATCGAACGTAATAAAAGACTTCGTCGGAGGGTAGACCGATATGTCTGCCAATAACAGCCTACCCGCAATTACTTCAGTTATTTCGTAACCATGGCGCTTGGAACAGTGCCGAAATATCGGAAAATCGCTAAAAACAAGGTACATGGTAAAAATCCCGTAAATAACTTATATTACAAATTCATATTATTCCAATACCATAATTAAATGTCAAAATTAATCAAAAAATAGAAATAATAATAATAAAAACATAATTGCAATTAAAAAATTGTCATGTAAAAATTCCGATACATCCAAATAATATTTATCAATCAATATTTTTTTAATTTTCTTCTTACATAAGTTACAATTTAATTCTTTTATATATGCCGGGAATCTATTATACATTCGAGGGGCCATACAGGATATGTTCTTTCCCATAAGAGCTGTTCTCCAGTTTGGCATGCACAGCCTGTCATTGGTGTCGATTCTAGCATGATTCTCTAAACCTAAACTTAAATTTGACAGCAGTATATCCTTGTCATTCTCTATACAGAATGAAAAGGAGAGACTGATGTCAAATTTAGTTTTAAGTTTAGAGAATCACGCCAGAATTGGCACCATTATCGCGTTTATTGCGATCTATAATATCTGTCATTCTAACGAAAAGGTGCATGTTCTATTTTACAAATAGTTAAATCAGTTGTATTTGTGCAAGATAGTGTATATTTTTGTTTTGGTCCTTCGCGCCGGATCTAAGCTGACTATGAATGTTATTACCTGCCGCATCCGACGTGTCCACAGATGAGACAGATCCACAGCGTTCCCGCTTCCACCTCGTCTAAGAGACCTTCTGCTACGCCACTGATGTTGTCTCGGGTCTCCTCTCCCTCCCCGTCTTCTTCGCCTTCTTCTTCTATACAAATATAATACCAAACATGTTGATTAAACTTGGCATAAATTTATGCGAAATTACGTATAATAAAGTATTAGGTAGTCAAGGTTAAATCAAATATACATACATATACATATTATAAAACAACGTCACAAATTTTTAAATCACTAAATGATAAAAATTAAAGACGTCTTGTAACATGTAGTAAATTATATCGGAAATCGAGTGCATTGAGTATAATTGAACTGTGTAACTTTTTAGTTTTCGACAGACCCTTGTAACATAATTTTTTTTCATTAAGTAAATAATTTAATTAAAAATCCCATGAATTATCGAATGCAGTAGTACTCAAAACAAATCAGAACATTTTCTTGTCGATAGAATCCGGCAGTAGTTCTTAGAATGTAGGATAGATGGAGTTGGCGAGTGGAGTGCGATTAACGTTATAATACTTCGGCTTCTCACCGCAGCTGCCACCACTGTCGTATTAACATCTTCTTTTTCATTTCATGGTTGACATTTTACTTAAGCTTACTCTGAGCGACATAAGAAATAAAGTTAAAGTTATAAGTTCAAAAAACTACATGATTAAATAAATAAATATTATCACAAACCTTGTATTAGTGATGATGGTGATGCGAACGATACTCTGCCTTTAGGTCTCACCGGTCGAATCCGAGTGTACATTTAGGATTTATTCTGTGATATACTGCGTGCATACGTACCCTGGCGACAGTGCGCACAGCGCGCGCCCTGCCTGGGCTCGGGGCCTGGCACACGGGGCAGCGCCCCAGGCCCTGCTCGCGCCCACAGTGCATACGTACCCTGGCGACAGTGCGCACAGCGCGCGCCCTGCCTGGGCTCGGGGCCTGGCACAGGGGGCAGCGCCCCAGGCCCTGCTCGCGCCCACAGTGCATACGTACCCTGGCGACAGTGCGCACAGCGCGCGCCCTGCCTGGGCTCGGGGCCTGGCACACGGGGCAGCGCCCCAGGCCCTGCTCGCGCCCACAGTGCATACGTACCCTGGCGACAGTGCGCACAGCGCGCGCCCTGCCTGGGCTCGGGGCCTGGCACACGGGGCAGCGCCCCAGGCCCTGCTCGCGCCCACAGTGCATACGTACCCTGGCGACAGTGCGCACAGCGCGCGCCCTGCCTGGGCTCGGGGCCTGGCACACGGGGCAGCGCCCCAGGCCCTGCTCGCGCCCACAGTGCATACGTACCCTGGCGACAGTGCGCACAGCGCGCGCCCTGCCTGGGCTCGGGGCCTGGCACACGGGGCAGCGCCCCAGGCCCTGCTCGCGCCCACAGTGCATACGTACCCTGGCGACAGTGCGCACAGCGCGCGCCCTGCCTGGGCTCGGGGCCTGGCACACGGGGCAGCGCCCCAGGCCCTGCTCGCGCCCACAGTGCATACGTACCCTGGCGACAGTGCGCACAGCGCGCGCCCTGCCTGGGCTCGGGGCCTGGCACACGGGGCAGCGCCCCAGGCCCTGCTCGCGCCCACAGTGCATACGTACCCTGGCGACAGTGCGCACAGCGCGCGCCCTGCCTGGGCTCGGGGCCTGGCACAGGGGGCAGCGCCCCAGGCCCTGCTCGCGCCCACAGTGCATACGTACCCTGGCGACAGTGCGCACAGCGCGCGCCCTGCCTGGGCTCGGGGCCTGGCACACGGGGCAGCGCCCCAGGCCCTGCTCGCGCCCACAGTGCATACGTACCCTGGCGACAGTGCGCACAGCGCGCGCCCTGCCTGGGCTCGGGGCCTGGCACACGGGGCAGCGCCCCAGGCCCTGCTCGCGCCCACAGTGCATACGTACCCTGGCGACAGTGCGCACAGCGCGCGCCCTGCCTGGGCTCGGGGCCTGGCACACGGGGCAGCGCCCCAGGCCCTGCTCGCGCCCACAGTGCATACGTACCCTGGCGACAGTGCGCACAGCGCGCGCCCTGCCTGGGCTCGGGGCCTGGCACACGGGGCAGCGCCCCAGGCCCTGCTCGCGCCCACAGTGCATACGTACCCTGGCGACAGTGCGCACAGCGCGCGCCCTGCCTGGGCTCGGGGCCTGGCACAGGGGGCAGCGCCCCAGGCCCTGCTCGCGCCCACAGTGCATACGTACCCTGGCGACAGTGCGCACAGCGCGCGCCCTGCCTGGGCTCGGGGCCTGGCACACGGGGCAGCGCCCCAGGCCCTGCTCGCGCCCACAGTGCATACGTACCCTGGCGACAGTGCGCACAGCGCGCGCCCTGCCTGGGCTCGGGGCCTGGCACACGGGGCAGCGCCCCAGGCCCTGCTCGCGCCCACAGTGCATACGTACCCTGGCGACAGTGCGCACAGCGCGCGCCCTGCCTGGGCTCGGGGCCTGGCACACGGGGCAGCGCCCCAGGCCCTGCTCGCGCCCACAGTGCATACGTACCCTGGCGACAGTGCGCACAGCGCGCGCCCTGCCTGGGCTCGGGAGTCTGCGCGCACCGACAGACGGGGCAGCGCGCGTCGCGCCAGCGCACGAGGCACGCGGAGTGGAACGCGTGCGCGCACTGCACGCTCAGTATGCCTGCGACGCTCTCGTCCATGCGCTCTGCGGGACGGGAGGGTCTTCGGTGAATATCTTACGCGAGCGGACTGACATAGCGCACCCGCGATACTCAAATTATCACGATGACAGCCGTTTTAAGTAAACCACTTTTGGAAATAATCTGGTTCCTACAAATTACCATATTACTGATTCTAATAAAAAAATAGTATTCAAGCAGTACAACATGTAAAAACGATCCAACTTCTTTGATCACATATCGGAAGATATTTAAGTTAGTTTTTTAATATTGTAATTATTATTTATTGTTATATCAAAACCATGAACTACATAAACAAATAAGGATTATTTTTAAATAAAAAGAGTTGAGACATAAAATTCTGTATTACTGATCATTAATCATAAACCTGCATTATACCAAACTGCATACCTAAACACACGGGACACGTAGGCAGCTCTGTGTGCGACGGGGGCGGAGTCCCGTGCCGCGCCCACTCCACCCGCGACACCCACGCCGTGTGACACAACGCACTCGGCTCCAGGCTACTGTACGGCACTCCATCGAACGCCGCGTGGAACTCGCGTGCCGCTTGCGATGTGCGGAAACTGTTTATCACAATATAGCCTAATGATAACCAACTCCATACACATAGAGAGTGGACTGCGCATTCCCTAACCTGAGAGAAACAAAGCAATCGAAAAGTCCATAGGTCAACTATTCATTGTTTGTTTTATCTATTTCTAGAGAGGTCTGAGTATCATGTGACTGTTGCTTAGACCATTCTCTATGCGTATGACCGACTCCCATTTGTACAAGTCTTTTTTCTAATTCTTTTTTTGTATAATTTCATTTTATAGAGCAGATTAATTATTAAAAAAATATAAGGAAAAAACGTCAGTAAAATCTTATATATAAAAAAAAAAAAAACTTATATTATATCAGTAAACTTACGTTAACAATGCCATGTAATGATCTGGTGAGCCATCACGAAGGACCCTAACATGAGCAATATCTTGTTGGCATGCTGCTGCAAACGCCAACAAGTCTGGAGCTCCAAGTGCTCCAGGCACAGCCAAGAGACACAGGGTTTTGGCCTCTTCTGCTTCTTTCAATTCACTACAACAACAAAACATTTATTACTTGCGGAAGTTGCGGATTACTTAACTACTTGATCTTATAAACCACTACAATGAATTCATAATTTTAATATTACAAAGAATTATTATCCCATATAATGTTGCGGCCATTTTCCGCATTATGAAGCTGGCAGTCAAACCACTTCAGAAGTACTTCCAGGCTACTTCTGGCTTATCATTAAAATGATGATATCTAAAAGTTTCTCTATCAAGACTATGTTAAAACCTTATATTACTGGCCAATTTATTATATACGCTCAGATTATGTTTATCAAGTATAGTTTTATTGTAAATTTAATTCGAAGGTGAAATTAGGATAAGTGATTTTTATAATTCTTATAATCATAACTAAAAGGCTTTGATAGAAGTTATATTTGGGTTGTTTATCACAGGATATAATATTTAACAAAAAGCAATGAACAATATACATTACCTCATATATTTTATTAATCGTAATATTCCCTGAACACTTGATCCCTCAAGACTGAATGTAGGCAAACAAAAGGCACGCTCAGTGTTGATTGGAGGTCATACACCACTTGGTGGGAGTTATAATTATGTAAGCCATCTTTGTTTTTCTCCCTACACTGCAGTAAAGGTTGAGAGAGATGAAAATAGTTTAACCAAGCTATATTAATCTCTAAAGTGGTGCAGTAATTAGACAACCTTTTATAGGCTGGTGACGCACAGGCTTTTTTTGACCGCATCCTTTTAAAGGATGGTCAACATACCCTTAGTTATGGTAATTTCTTTAAGTACTATATACTACCCACAATTTCAGTTAATAAAAATCTAAAATGAGTTTTAAGCTATTTTAAATATCCAATGATGTCGATTCTGGCAGGGTTCTCTAAACTTAAAACTAAAATTAACATCAGTCTCTCCTTTTCATTCCGTATAGAGAATGACAGGGATACACTGATGTCAAATTTAAGTTTAGGTTTAGAGAATCATGCCGGAATCGACACCAATGAATAACTAATGTATTATAAAAAACAATTTATTTACTTATTCCACTCACTTTTCTTTATATAGGTGAAGAACTCCTTTCGTTACTTCCACAAGAGGATTGCCAAAAAAGAAACTGATGGTCTCCATATCTTCAGAGACGCTGTTTTCAGTCGGACGGCGGGAGCTGGTAGGCAGAATTCCCGTCTCATTGTTGACACCAGCCAGCACGCTAGCATATGTCTCCACGGTTATTGTTTTCATCTCACGCTCTCCACGGTCACGTTTTTTCTGTTCTCTGGCTGCTTCTAATGAGCAATATTGTAAAATGTGAGTAAACTAGAAGCTAATTTCGTAGCTTAAAGGTAGGAAATCCCATGACCCAAGCTACTTTAAAAACCACCACATTGGTATAATTATTTGATATAAAAGTTACTTACCGATTTCAGAAGGATTATCACCCATTTCTGGAAGGTCTTCGTCGATTTCCACTCTCAAAACGCACAAAGAGACGGACATCGATAAAGGATTTAATGTAATCTAATATGCAAAGTAATTATATGGTTTATCATCACAACTGGACACAATTCTGATAAATTTTATTTGTTTATTAAATCGTTCCTAAAAACGTATCCACAAAAACTCATCAAAGAACAAGTCAAATGTAAACAAGGGAAACACTGTCTGAAGGGAAACGTCGACGAAAGAACCACTTGGGTTGGATGCAATGAGTAAAATGAAATGAATCTTGCCAGAAACTCGTCGGGTATCGAAAAACTGCGACAGAAATACGATAATAGCATATAAATAAAAGAGATAGCATAAATATATGACAATAGAATGATTACTTCTTAAATTTGTAGTATGTTCATCTTTTTGTTTTTAAATTATTTCATTTGAAAGGCGAAGGAACTTAAGTTGCAATATTTGCGGGCATGAAGCTGTAGCCATTTGCAGTTGACAGTTGATACCACCAAGGCAATTTCTATAATAAAGTTACATAATGAAAAATAATAATTAATCGACAATCAAAACAATGTAATATTTATATTAGCAAATATGGCTGGATAAATCATATAATTAATATTTTTTTTAGAGTAAAATAATCTGGCTGTATATATTAAACACCTTTGCTTTCATTTAAATAAAAAAATATTAAAAAGTTTCAGGAAAATATTCAATATGGCTGCAGATCATACGACGACGTGAGCTGTCAGCTGTAATAAGTTTTTGTTTCTTTGTGTTTATTACGCCTAAAAATGTTATGATCATTACGTGTACGTGAATATGGGTGCAAAAGACTCAAAACCTACTTTTATATCCTACGAAGATGCAGTTAAACGAGGTCTGTGCGTTAAAAAAATATGGTGCTAGTGCGTTGTTACATTTAAAGATAAATGTCTACTCAGTCGTATAATATTATTTACAGTGCCTGATAGTGAGTTGAGACGGATTCGTGAGGCGTTCAAGAGATGCGCCGGCACCAACGGTACATCCTTGAGCTTAGAAGCATTCGTCCACGAAGTTTTGTGTGATGGTGTACCTTACGAGGTAGCAGAGTGGTTGTATCAGGCCTGTGGAGGCACCAAACGGGGTATAGCTTTCAAAGAATTACTATGTGGAATAGTAGTACTTACAAAAGGAAATCTTGAGGAGAAAATCAAGTAAGAATGTACCTACTACTTTAAAAGTAGGTAAGTTTGTATTTGTGTAAATACTAATGGTGTTGTTATTGTAGGTTTTTGTGGACACTATATGTAAACAATCAGAGTGATAGTGGTACATATATATACAAGAGAGATTTTGCAAGATCTCTGCACTTGGAGAACACATCTCTGCCAGTTACTGGTGCTCAAAAGACTGCAGAAATATTGCTTAGTCTATTTGGACCTGGAGAAAAAGTAACTTTTGAGCAGTTCCGATCATGGCTTCTAATACACAAGGATGCCACTGTGCTGTCCCAGTGGCTGCTCTCTGGAGGAGGGCATGTGGTTCCAGACTTGGAAACGCCTACATTTTATCAAACTCTAGCTGGCGTTACACATTTAGAAGAAAGGGTAAGTTAACTAGATAATATAAATTATTTTATGCGACACTTGTCACACTTACACGGTTTTTAATGGAAACTAGTATTTTAAGCTATAATTAACTCATCCTTGTTGATCTTTCCCTCCAAAAAAATACTGGTGTATAAAGTTAGAGCAAGTGCAAAAATTAAATAATTTATTAATTTTCTGGTAAAAAATATAAAAGAAAAACTGTAAACTTAGGTTTCTGCTGGCTGCACTAAAACACTGGTAAAGTTATTGCTTATCACAAGTACTTAACATACATTCAAAATGAATTATATTATTCTAATTCCATATCAGCTGATAAAATATCTGGTTATTGTATATCACTTTGTAAACTATGCAAATCTTTTGAGATGACTAATTTTGTTGATATGTATCACCCATGTGCTATTGTAATCAGTCATTAGTATAGATTTTTTTTTTCTTAAAAGTAATTTAAGTAGCATAATATTGTGTTTTTCTTTGTACCGAAAGTTAATTTTTCATTTACCGTCAATATTGTTTTTATTTTCAAATTTGTTTTTGCTATGAATTTAGATTTATATGTTTTTACCCCATGGGTATACTCATCATCGTGCGTGCATAAATCAAAGAATTTTTTTACTAGAAACAATTCCAATTGATCCAGGTATCACACAGGATTTGTACTGCCACTATGCAGGCATAACATTTGAATGGAATAACATTTTTAAGTAAACAATGTAATTGATATCAGCTTGTTAAAAATGTATGTGCTATTCCATGTATGTACTTAATATGGTTGGCTTCATGAATTCATCCAAAAGTTAAACATCAGAAATTCTACTCAACTTAAGGAAAATTGTTTGGTGATTACCAACCTCCTATAGTTTAATATGATTATTTATTTCATTCTTATTTTGAAATCTAGCTATTTCCTTTAAATTAGAAACTATACTATATAAATATCAATAAATGCTTGATAATGCAAGTCATTATTGTATACTAATACATTATTTTGAAAAACACAACTGTTTTGCCATTAATGGAAAGATGTTTGCTTTTTCTTTTTTAATACTATAGCTCTGCTTTTCAACAATTCTGCCAATTTCACATAGCCCATGACACAATTTTCTTTTCAACACATTTTAATAAAAAAAAACTGATAACTATTTTAGATTTTTATCACTTCTTATGTTGTTTTAATGAACCTGAAATAAAACTTGAATGACCTACAAGACATAATAATTAAATTTTTAAAATTACTTTTTGTGTATATGAACTAGGTACCTCCTAAATAGGTATGAAATTTATCGTAAGGCCAGGGTTTTTAACACAATCAGAATGTTTTCCTTTTTGTATATTTTCCTTATGATAATATACCTAAAGAAAGGAAAACATAATAAAGCTGTTTACATAAAAAGAAACATGTGCAACAGCATTTGTATTTAATTAATAAAATACCCTGAAAATCTTTCAGTGATACAGCAAAATGTTATAGATAAAATAGATAACTAATGATTGTGTGACAGTCGAGACAATATAAATAACGAAAACTTGTTCTATCTTTGGACTAATTTATCTTAAGATATTAATCAAAATCATATTCAATACACAAGATATATAAAAACCTTAATATTTAAGCAAAAATGTTGAAAAACCTTTATGAATTTATTAATATTTATATTATACAGATGTTTCCGCTTTCATAATGTAGGTATTTTATACAGATTTCTCATATTAGTATAAATTTTTGTCAAATATAGTTAGGAAATCCTTGATGAACAATAAAATAAGGCTACCTTATTTTTGATGGATCAATTATGTTAGAGAATTGACTGCATTTAATTTCATTTTTTTAACATAATTCTAAAGACCAGACCAGAACCAATCTGAAAATAGTAACCCTTTTATTGTTGCGATTTATATATAGTAGATGAAGTATAAAAATTGTGTCGGATTTTTAAATTTGTTGCAGCATCATGTGTGAATAAAAAGCGAATGCGTAAAGAAGGCGCAGAAGCAAAAGCTTCATGAAGTGCACGTGTGTGAGTGAGCAATGTCGCCGCCAATAGTAACGTATTTATCGCCTACGCGATAGGCCGCCAGTGTTCCTTCACACTCGCACAATCGTATAAAGCTTCGTCTTACCTCCTTCCTTCATACATAAAGGAAGATTAGAAGATAGGAAGATTGGGCCATGATCTACTACGCGGGCCCAGTGTGGATTGCTGAATGCTAACGCAACAGATGCAGCCGAAACCAACGGCTTAACGTGTCTCTTATGGAAGGAATAGGGTTACTGGGTCGTGACGTGACCCATCACGCAGGCCCGTGCGGATTGGTGGATGCTAACGACTGTAGCCAAGACCAACAGCTTAACGTGCCTTCCAAATCACGATAGAGCTAGAAATATTAAGTATTTGTCACCCATTTAATCACTGGTACTGGTAGTCGCTTAACCTCCACTACTATCACAGATCGAACACGCCAATTACCTGCGCCATCGAGCTCCTCATTACCTTCTTCTCATGTGAAAAAACTAAACAAACCCGATGTTCTCCAGGACATAATAGAGTTGGAGAAGTGTTTCTGGTCACTGAGGAACGCGGCGCCGACGGGCCAGCTGGACGCGGAGAGTCTGACACCGCTGTTGTCGCCGCCTCTGCCGCGCACCGCCGTCGCAGGCACCGTGGCCGCCTTCGACGAGAACAGAGACGGACATGTGGACTTTAAAGAGTTATGCTGCGGACTCAGTGCTGCCTGCCGGGGACCGAGGACTGAACGACTCAAGTGTAAGTTTAAAAAAAAATTCAAAATTCAATATCGTTTATTCAGTCTAGGCTGTTACAAGCACTTGTGAATGTCGAAAAGCTACGCCATCGGTTCGCAAATCTACGGCGGGAGACCAGCAAGGGCTGTTTTTTTCTCCCTGTATTATATACAGAGTCGTCAATTGGAAAAATGACTTCAATATGAGATAACTCATGAAGTCACTTTCCATTACAAATGTAAATGATAAAACAATTATGACTATAAAATAAAATATATAAAAAACAGATTTAAAAATGAAAAAAGTTTAGGAATGCCGTGTCCTACTGTTTAGGCATAAAAACAAAGGTTTAACATTTTGTTTAAATAGCTGATGATGCTATTGGTGTCGCCGCTGCTTCCGCGCGCTGCAGTTGCAGGCACTGTGGCTGGCCTCGAAGAGAGCAGCGATGGACATGTGGACTTTAAACAGCTATGCTGTGGATTCAGTGCTGCCTGTCAGTAACCGAGGACTGACCGACTCAAGTGATAGTTTAACACTTTGTTTTATTAACTGACCAATTTGATTTTGATTATCATTTTACTCTCTGCGTTGGAATAACGGATAATTCTTCAAATCAGCGAATTAAAATATGGAATAAGTAAAATTGTTTTGAGAATTTGTATGGATGTTTTGTACTCTCGAAGTTTTTATTTCACTTGTGGGCTACACAGGTAGCGAATGATATTGCTTCCTTCAGTTCTACTAGTAAATACATACGTTCTAATCAAACCCGCGCTTTGAATCACACTAATATTATAAAAGCGAAAGTTTGTGAGTGTGTATCTTTGTTACTTCTTCACGTATAAACGGCTGGAGCGATTGTAATAAAATTTGGTATGGAGTTAGCTGACACCCTGGATTAACATACTGCTACTTTTTACTGCGGTTAAATATCCCTAATAAAACGTGGGTACATTGAGGGGCACAGCTAGTAAAGAATATTTATTATTATTAACATTTCGCACTACATTTTTGTTTTACATATCGGTCAGTACCCTTAGTACGAGTTAAACAATTACGAAAACTATGATAGCTTTCGTGAGCTCGCACTCGTACTAAGGGTACTGATTTTATTATTTTCGTTTCAATACAAATAAACAGTGTTTAAATTCCATCATTAAATTTTCGTCTTCTTAAATTTTAAATATATTTGGCTACTTTTTACCAAAATGGACATAGAAACATAATTTACAATCACGAAAACTATGATAGTTTTCGTGAGCTCAAACTCGTACTAAGGGTACTGGTGTCGGTTTAAATGCCGCGTGAGACGGTCGATTTTATTTGATCCCAATTTTATCTAATAATTAATGCCAACAATGCATTCTATTAAGGTGCTGTCTAAACACGTCAGTGTCGTTTCACGTTTCGTGCTTTCTAGGCAGAACTGAAAACCAGGGGGCCAATCGCCTAACTGGATTGCTTTGGAAAACGCTATCGCTTACGATTTCATTTTGTTATTTCTAACCGCCGAAATACCTCACGCTCATTTTCTTTAACATTGTTATTACCAATGCAAAAGAAAAAAAAGAGCGCGAGGCATTTGAAAACCTCAGGGGGCTAGAAATAACAAAATGAAATCGTAAGCGATAGCGTTTTCCAAAGCAATCCAGTTAGGCGATTGGCCCCCAGTGCTTTGCTCTTAGAGCAAAGGTATCGCTAAATTTTTGCGTATTCATCTATTGATGTCTGCCTTATATTGCCATGTATTTATTGATGTCTTGACGTTATGTTGTAATGGGCTTCATTCAATACTCTTTTATGTTCACGGAAGTTGAGAACCGCTTGATATAAAATGAAAATTGCTAATGTAATCTTTGGGAATACGTAGAGTCGCTACCAATCGGATAAATTATCCCATACAGATCAATGCCGCCAACTAAAAGCAGATCAATCTTATTACCATAAACTGCATATACCTTATTTACCACAAATGAATACTTATGCGGCTAATAGGGCCGTGGTAGCATAATGGTCAGTGCATTCGCCCGGATAGCGAAGGATGCGGGTTCGAGTCCCGTCCGCTGCCTGGTCCGCGTGGACTTTTTTCTAGTAAACTTTTCTTTAGATTTAAACATCTAGCAGTTAAATGCTTAAAAAATAAATAAAATCATAATGAATACTTAATTCGAAATCAATGTGATAATGGTATATCTCTTGGCCTAGATAGCCATCTTTTGCACTAAAAGCACCGATAACTTTGTTATGATGTAATATGCATTTTAATAGGTAAATTTAAAAGGTTGTCTGGAAGAAATCCATCCATAAGACCGCCCATTGAATCACCGTTTAAACATAATGTATTTACCCCACTTATGTACTGTACTGTGGTGTTTTCAATAAAGAATTGTGTATAATAAATATTATTTACAATACAATACACAATTCTTTATAATATTTCCAGCACTCGCACCAATTAGCCTAGTCCCAAAGTAAGCACTGTAAGGCTTGTGCTTTGGGATACTAGGGTAACGGATAAAATACATATACCGTATATATATATATACGGTATATTTTATAGTACCCACGCCGATTGTACAATATCAGTATCTAATATTATTAGTACATTTAAACAAAGTCACCCTACATTCGGACAGATGTTTTTCACTACCGATTGTGTTTCGACTTGAAATGTGTGTAAACAGAATATAGACAGGACAATAGGTGTTGTGATGACGGCACATTTAAACAAACAACCCATTTCTGAGTAGCAATTTGATTTATGAATATTATTTACTACCTATGATTACCTTTGTTGATGGAAATGTTTGCGGACATAATAAAATTTACCTATTCTCTTTAGCGTTTACATTTTAGATAATTTTTAATCAACTAATGTTTATGGAGTCCATAAAAAGGACATTTTTAATTAAGGTGGATATTTTTAATTCTGTTGTGTTATTCAGTAAAAAAAAACAAAATTAAAAATTTCATTTTCATGTTGCCGAGAAAACGTTTTTCTGGGCATTATGGCGTCTTACTAGTGTATGACGTCACACGACCGTCATTAAAACGTTAAACGATACAATGTACTGTTAACTAGCGTGTGACGTCATTTTAGTCTTGGCCAATCCCAGGCGTTTTTGGTCACGTGACCATAAAGCAAAAAAACATTTCTATTAAATGATTTTATAGAAAAGTTAATAATTATTTCTTCATTCAGAATAGTTAAATTAAATTGGTACATTATTTTTCATACTGCCAAATAGTCTATTCTATTTAGACGCTCCGATTCTAACGGAAACACTGCTGTGCTACGTATATTGACTGACTAGCTGTGCCCAGCGGTGTTACCCGCAGTTTATAAACGAAAATTCATTGTCATCCATTTTACCATGGGAATAAGATATTTTCCCGCAATAAAACGTAGCCTATTTGTTTATCCTCGGAGGAGCTCGATGGCGCAGGTGGCTAGCGCGTTCGGCTGCGGTGGTTGAAGTTAAGCAACTTTCGCAGCGGTCGGTCATTGGATGGGTGACCAAAAATTTACTACCTCGAGCTCCTCCGTGCTTCGGAAGGCACGTTAAGCTGTTGGTCCCGGCTGCATTTGCAGTCGTTAGCACCCATCATTCCGCACTGGGCCCGCGTGGTGGGTCATGGCCCAATCTCCCTATTCCATCGGCAAGGCCTGTGCCCCAGCAGTGGGGACATTAATAGGCTGATGATGATATTTGTTTATCCAGGGTGGCAGCCAACTCCATACCCAGTTTTATTAAAATCACTCCTGCCGTTTAGACGCGAAGAAGTACAAACATACACAATCACAAACTTTCGCCTTTACAATATTAGTGTGATTAGCGGCCGCCTGCGACTTTGCCCGCGTTAACTTTAGTATTTTCAGAATACTACTGGAACCTGTTATTTTTCCCTCATATAAAGTATCCTGTCTCAATCCAGGTCATACACTATATGCATACCAAATTTTATCCACATCCGTTCAGTTTTTGCGTGATAATATTACAAACTAGTGGGGTAGAATTGATCAAAATCCTTTCTTAGCGGATGTCTACGTTATAACATCTACCTGCATGCCAAATTTCAGCCCGATCCGTCCAGTGGTTTGGGCTGTGCGTTGATAGATCACTATGTCAGTCAGTCACCTTTGAGTTTTATATATATAGATATACAAACTTTCACATTTAATAATATCAGCAGGATATTGCTATTAAAGTACAAAATCAGATTCAGACGGTCTTTAGATATTTTTTTTTGAAAAACCTATAAGAGGAAAATGTATTCCTGTAACTTCAGCACATTAATTTGTATCCAGTAGTAAATGTTTTCTGCTCGTCAAAATAAACAGAATGATACTTTTAAACTCAAGTAATGAGAATTTTGTCTGCAAATTGGTGTCTATTAATACATTGTTTAGTAAGATAAGTTTGGGAGTTTCCATTTGGCAAATATTCCTGGAAACTCAATCGAATTGGATACGATGTAAAGGAAGATTTTGATCACCCAAATGATTTCGATCAGTTGAGATGAAATTAGGTAATGATATGCAAGAATTACGGTTAACAACTGAAAAACCGTAAGCAGGAACTGATAAGATATTCAAAATAGCTCAATGTTGTCCGCGGCCGCTGGTCGCCGGTCAGACGGAACCATTGGCTTTTTTTTTATTTCCGATTTAGCATGCTACGGTTACCGTCGGTAGTTATGCAAGTTAGATAATAATTATCGGTTATGAGCACAGTGAGTACCTGAAATACAAGATGCCACTGCTGCAATAATGCCTAACACGTCATTTTGACTAAAAAGCAGATTGCCTAGAACCTGGGTTCCGAACCTGGGGGTAATTACCTCTCCGGGGGTACATCAGCCATACTTCGGGGGTAACAAAGAACCTAATTATTTGGTCAAATCTAAATAATTCTACTAAATAGAGCATGCGCTCCTACTTGCTAGTGAGCCCGCGGGGTGCTGAGTGTCGGAAGCGGGGCGAGATTCTCTCCTGATGATGACATTATTAGAGACGAA